ACTGACTCCCCAGCTCCTACCTCAGCAGCCGTTAATGCATAGCTGAGAAAACAAGTTAAAACAATTATGGTTTTGCTTAGACAATTCTAAGTGTCTAAGTGGATTTGGGCAAATCTGGAGAAACTTCTTCTAATACTGTGTCTTAATAAATAATACAGATTTGCCCAGGCTTGTAGGCAGAGAGGTATACACCCCCATAATAGCAGAGGAAGGCCACAGGGCTTATCCCACAAAACCAGAGACATTTAAAAACTTAAAGGAGGAAGACTGCTTTTCTTTTCAGTTAAAATAAAGTGAAGATTTTCTTAAGAAAAATAATAATGAGACCACTGGCCTGCCCTAGATGTCCAACGAGAATGCACAGATAACTTCCTATATCCACTTTCCTGAACCAGCCCCTGACAGCCAAGTGGAGCACAGCAACAAAGATGAACCTCAAAACTACTGTGCTGTGACATAAGCCTTGCTTAAGAAGACAGTGTGGTGTGAGTCCATCTATGTTCTAAAGCAAGCAAAGCTATTCTGTAGTGAAAATGGATCAGGACAGCGGTTGCCTCTGGTGTATGGGGGCAGGATCGACTGGGAGAGGCATTAGGGATGACAGTTACCGTTTCAATCATGACAGGAATTCAGATTACTCCAGCATGTGCATTCGTTAAAGCTCATTAAATGCTACACTTAAGATTAATCCTCTCACACTTTGTGGATGTTACCTTAAAAACAACAATGATGACTGAAAACTCCTATTGAACTCTGGTTAGTGATATGCCAATGTGAAGTATAATGATATCTCTACTTTACTTTAAAATGCATCTGAAAGCAGACTAGGGGACCACATCAAGACAGATAGATATGTGATAAGGTGAATGTAGTAAAATGCTAACATAAGGATGTGTGTGGTACAATTCTTTCAGCTTTTCTATACATTTATAAATCTTCAAAATAAAGTTTTAGGACAAAAAGTTACTTTCTTGAAGACCTAAGTCATAGGGCCTGCTGCTCTTGATGCAGTAGAATTTGTCTTCAGATTTGCAAGGGGTAGGGCAAACCACTAGCATTTTGTATGGAACTTGATACAAACACTTTTAATTATGTGGTTTTCAAATGTATAGACTTAAATTAATATTAACTCTTTCTTTGAATAAACTACTAAAATACCTAGTCTTAAATAAATATTTTTATGTAATTCTTAAAGTACAATGTATTCCTTTTTCTTTCTTCTTTCTTTTCTGATTTGATAAATATTCTATAAAGTAACTGTGTTTAATGGCCAACATTTGAGTAAGTCCATATGCAAATCCAAACATCTCAGTTTAGACAATAACTTAAGACAATATAGAGTGGCTGACTTCCCCTAACATGGGTCCAGATGCATGTTATGTTATGCTGCTGTTGCATTCTCAATAGTTAACGTTAATAAAAGAAAGTCAAAAGCTTATATATTTATTCAATCTTCAAAACATTTCTGGGACATTGTCTTAGTTAATTTTATGTTGCTATACCAGTATCACAGACTGGGTAATTTATAAAGAAAATAAATGTATTTGGGTCATGGTTCTGGTGGTTGGGAAGTCCAAGGGCATGGCATTTGCATCTGCTTGGCAGCTGGTGAGGGCCTTCATGCTATGTCAATCTATGGTAGAAGGTCAAGAGAGCATGCATGTGAGGTGGGGGGGAAGAGAAAAAGGGGATTTAACTCCTCCTTTTATCAAGGACCCACTCCCGTGATAGCTAAGCCACTCTTACAATAATGGCATTCATCCATTCCTTAGGGCACAGCTTTCATGATCGAATTATAATACCTCTTAAAGGTTCCACCTCTCAACACTGTTGCATTGGTGATTAAGTTTCCAATAAATGCATTTTGGAAAACACATTCAAACCACAGCAGAGGTCAATGTTATTGTCACCATTTTCATATTTGAGGAAAGCATGACACAGAGAGCTTGGAGAGGTACTTCAAGTTCACACAGTGAGGAAGTGGCTAAACAAAAACCTTATCTTAATTAAAAACCTCTTGCTCTTTGCAGTTTTGTCTTAAATCTACCTAATTTGTTACTGTAATTTTTAAGTAATTTACTCATATAAGTGGTCTCACATTAAATTTTCTCATTACTTTATATTTCTAACATGAGATATTTGGTATAAGGATGGAACCAAGATCATACCTTGTTTTAATTAGAAAACCTAGACCAAGTCATTCTGATCCTCATCCTAGATTTCACTTAAATGTTGCTGTCTCCTTTTGGGTATTTGACAAGGGAAAGCCTCAGAAGAAACAACCTTATATGTTTTCTTTTGATACTTTAGTTATTAACCCAGGATAGTATTCAAGATTGACATGCCTTATATTGAATCAAATAGTATGTCAACTGCCTTCTTATTCTCAAGAATAGACATGTTGGGTAATTGGGCACTTAAGTTTCTTTGCAGTTTTTTCCATTATTAACAAAATTAATGAACAGCATTCTGCATAAGGTCTGTTTCCTCAGAATAAGTCTCCCAAAGTGGAATCATCATGATGTAGAATTTAGGCATACTTGCTTGTTTAAACAAATTGTCCAGTTGCTTCCCAAAATGTTTTGTGAATTAAGATTTACATCAAGAATATGTAATGTTGTTACTGTCTCCCAAATACAGGATCTTTTTCTGAATATAAATGTTACTCATGCTAATTGTAGACAATGAAGGGTCATTATCTTCATTGATAATGAAGTGCTTCTAATACTTGTGCTTTTATTCATTTATTCAAAAAGTGCTAAATAAGCCCTGAAGGAGCTTTTGGGGGGTTATTTGGGGCTCATTTAGCACTTTTTGAATAAATGAATAGAAGCACAAGTACAGGGTTTTTTTTAATATTGTTTTCTGTAATAGATTAATCTTAAATGGCATTTTTCCTTTACTGACAAAAGTTACTTACTCTTTGATTTAATAATAAAAATTCTTTGGTTCAACTGAGAGAAACTTGCAAGCTGATGTCCTTGATTATTTAAAATGAAAGCAGCTGCCTGTTTTCATCCCTCTGCATCCTGAAGAAACTCTTCTGCAACGTGTTCCAGCCCTAGGTTCTAGTTAACCCCGTTCACCTGTTTGGCATGAGGGGCCCAACCAACACTTACGGCTACCTGGACCACAGCCAATCTAGTTGGAATGAGAGTTAGAGGCCATAGTCTGTCAGCCGGGAAAGCAGCTTTTATTCCAAGGTGTGCTAACCGAAAGGCCACGTGTTATTGTCACAACCTTGTACCTACATCAGTGCTGACATCTTTAAGGACTTTAGAATTGGGAAATCAGTTTAGCCCTATCTGCACGTGTAACAGACAACCATACAATTGTTTCAACTTGAGGTTGCATTCAGAACAAACTCATTTCCCCCATACTCCTGGGGAAAAGCAGACCAGAGACGCTGGGTCAATCCAGAGTTATGGTTGGAAAAATGATGGAATAATTCTGCCCCTGGAGATAGGAGAGAGGGACTCCATCTTGTCAACTGTCATGGTTCCCATGTGAAAGTTATCGTTATCACTGAAATTGAATGAGAACACAGAAGGGAAGATCAGGGAAATCCCCACAGAGTTAAAGAGGATGTGAAGATTGCTTCATATTTAATGTTTGTGTAAGTGCTTTGGGTTGGTTATGCGCTGTCTGAACATGTGCTCATTTCCATGGCTCATTGCAAGGGCAGACAGTCCGATGATACTCTTTAGAATCATTCCCATGGGGAGGGAACAAAGAAGCCTATAAAATAGAAATGCACATGTAAAAAGCATTGAAGAAAGTGCCAGTGTATTGATTTTGGCCATGGTTTGTGCTCTACCACCTGGTTACTGTGATTGCAGGAGCGCCTTTGCAGATGAGGAAGAACCTGGCCAGGGCTCAACCCAACATCCAAAGCCAGAGGCCATATTTCTTCACTCTTAAGATAATTTGGGTTCAAATTATAGTCGCTTTACACACTCTCTGCCTCAAAAGCCCCAAGACTCTGTTTTGTTATGCTCGCCTAAACATGCCTTTCAAAGAGCTAGTGCTGTAAATACAACTTTATTATAATCCTCTCCTTTGCTTTTAAAAATGGATAACCACTTCCATTTATATGGTCCAACTTTGTCCCTTAATTTAAAACTTTTTTCTTGGATTAAGTTTGATGCCTTGAAACATTAAGGACCCAAGCATACAGGACTGTGTGTTGGTGGTGAGGGAAGTAACTGCACCTCTGCCTGTGCTGGGTGGATCAACACGGAGTGTGGACGACCACAGGGATGTGTGGGTTTCTCACTAGCTGAGGGTGTTTTTAAATGTTGTATTTTGATGTTTGTTATTTTCTGAATATTCTACATTAGACTTTTGATTTATTCTTTGATGCATTCATTTGAGTAATATTTTTAATCTCCAATCAGTTAGGTTTTTAATTTACACTTTGGTCACTGATTTTAGGTGTACAATGTTGTGTACACTACTGCCCAGTGTATGCTATGTTTGTAAACATTCTTTGCACACACAACAATGTGACATACTATATTTTTGCAAAGTAAAAAATTCATTATATAGTTATTAACTCAGTTATATTAGTGAAATACCTTGTGAAATTTATTTTTTGCCTACTAGAGCTCTTACAGGTTAATCTTGTCTTAGAGATTTTCATAGAATTTTCATCTACTGCCCATGCCTTTAAATTTCAACATTTTTAAATTTTGGCATTTTAATGCAATTTCATGCATTATAGGGACAAGCTATCACTTACTATGAATTGCACCTTATATAAAGATCTTTTATCACATTTGTTTTGCTGTATCCATCAGTGAGAATTTGTATTATCAGTCACTAAAGCTCACAAAGTTAGTAAGCTTTGTGACCAGATGACTTGGGCAGGAATGGGCGAGTCTCTGTGTGGAGGGAGTGAAGAAACTGCTAGCCTTATTACCTAGACCTTGAGGGATTGTTTTATTTTAGTTTTTCTGAATTTCTCAGTATTTCATGTGATATCTTTCTTTTTATTCCAGTTTGCCAAGGCACGAGTAACAAACTCACGCAGTTGGGCACTTTTGAAGATCATTTTCTCAGCCTCCAGAGGATGTTCAATAACTGTGAGGTGGTCCTTGGGAATTTGGAAATTACCTACGTGCAGAGGAATTATGATCTTTCCTTCTTAAAGGTTGGTGACTTTGATTTTCCTACACAAATAAAATTGGAGAAAATCTAAGTGGAGAAAGCCCTGGGCAGAATTCCACTTGAAGTGTGTTTATTTTTGCTATGGCACTGACAAGTCTTACAGAGCTACAAATGAGAGTTTTAAGAAAAAGCCATTTTACCAGCTAGTGTCAAGTAATAGCTAGAAAAGAATATCAAAGAGAAACAGGCTAATCTGGAGTTCCGCTGTCATCATAGACACTGATGTTTATCCCTGACCATTGCCTCAGTCATGGTGTGTTGCCATACTAGCTCTTAGCTCTTTTTAAAAGCCCTGCTTTGCACCATTTGCCTGTTTCCTTAGTGTATTTCCTTAGTGTAAATACTCCTACCAGAGCTGATTTCAAGCTACCAAGAGTTTCACCCAGCTAGTCACAGAATTATTACTTCACAATAGGTGCTAATGACCCCATAGGAGCCAGCTCTGAAGGCTTCAGAGTTTCATTGAACTTTGGATGAGATTTACTTAGCCTTCTGTTTTTCTTTTTCCCTTCCTTTTTAAATAAGAAATAATGCAAGACAGATACAAAGTAATTCTTTTTAATTTCCATTTTCACGGGAGAGTGTTGAACCCCATGCGGCATGAGAGCACGGCGTTCCAGAACAATGCTTACTGCTCGTTATCACAGGTGTCAAAGGCTAACGTGCAGGGATTGTTGCAAATCGTGGAAATGCTTCCTCCTGTGTCCATGACTGCAGTCATCTACCTGTTTTACATTTGTTGAGCACTCGTGGGCGTTAGGGTTCAACTGAGTGTCCTAGGGCTCCATGGACCCATTTTAGACCTTGAGTTCTTGAGTTCCTCAAAAGAGAAGTCACGCATTTGTGTTTTCTCTTCTTAGACCATCCAGGAGGTGGCTGGTTATGTCCTCATCGCCCTCAACACAGTGGAGCGGATTCCTTTGGAAAACCTGCAGATCATCAGAGGAAACATGTACTATGAAAATTCCTATGCCTTAGCAGTCTTATCTAACTATGATGCAAATAAAACCGGACTGAAGGAGCTGCCCATGAGAAACTTACAGGGTGAGAGGCTGGGATGCCAAGGCTGGGGGTTTATAAATACAGAGAGCAGTTCTGATGGCTCCCAGTGAGCTTGTCACTCAATTCTACCTTGGAGAAGACTTTTATTTTTATCCAGTACATGTGCACTGAGTGCCAGCTGTGTGTAAGATACTGCAGGGGAAGTTACTGAGAAGATGGCAGATACTGGAATGGGAAGATTTAAGCGGGGTACCAGTGTTTCCATGGACGTGAAAAAATATGGAAAGATAGTAAGAAATTGTAAAGATTCTGAGTAAAAGAGGGTATGACCAGACAAGCTGGGCAGGAATCGTGAATCTATGTGCATAGGCAGTGAATAAACTGCCAGTCTTTTTACTTGGACCTCAAGGATAAAAGACATACATACAGTAAAAATCAACTCACATGGAGGACAGTTTCGAGAGTCGCACTGCTACACAGAAAATCATGTGTAAGTTAAGGACAGAGAATGAGGTGTTCTAGAACTTTGAATTTTTGTGAGTAGGACACATGAGGCTCCTGTGAGAGGAAACAATGAAGGATGATAGAAGAGAGGGAAGTTGATTTTTAAAAACTGGAGACAGCAGTGATTGTGCCTCACTGTGCAGTAGGTTTGGGGCCAGGAATGTTAAATCGGTGACTTCATTTAACGCCCACAACCTTTCTTCAAAGTAGGCATTGTACAAATGCTCCTTGACTTACGATGGGATCCTATCTGGCTGGACCCCGCCAAGGTTGAAGGCGTCATTAGGTCGGATTTCAGGGCTAATTGAATGTGTACTGCCTTCACACCATGGCAAAGTCAAAAATCTATGTTAAATCATGGTAAGCCAGGGACTGGCTGTGTTCTGCCATTTTACAAATAAATAAATGGCAATCAAGTAACTCCCTTGAGGCCCCCAGCTAGTGAATGGAGAAGCCAGCTATGGCCACCAGTCTCTGCCCCAGGGTTCTCAACACCCCTCCTGTGCCATGCAGTTCTGACAGGGAGGCAGTGCTGGTAGGAAAAGGGTGTGATGAAAGGGGTGCCCGGCAGAGGGAGTCATATTGGAAGTGACTGGAGCCCAACAGGGGTGCAGCTCTGGGACCCAAGCCAGCACCTCCAGGCGTGACTCCTCGGTTCACCACCTATAAAATTGTGTGATTCCCCCACACCCCCTGCTGCTCAGAGCAGCCGTGCACATGCTTGTGCTGTGCCTGCTTCCTGTGAGATGGCCTGGTACACAGGTTCCTACAGTGCGCCTCACGCGCTGTCTCGGAGGGAGGCAGCCTGTGCGGGTGCCTGGACCTCAGAGCCAGACCCTCTGGGTTCCTGCCCGGCCCCATCCCTCAGCAGCCAGAAGGCTCCGGAGCACATTCTCCAATCCTTCCGTGTCTCTGTTTCCTCATCTTCAAAAATGTGGATGGCATAGCTGCTAAAAAATGGTGAGGTACTTCCTAAGTGGTGCAGAAAATTAAGTGACTGTAGGAAAAGGTCTCAGCAGCTCCTTCCACTTCCTCGGTATAATTGCTTTTTAAACCAAGGCTGGGATTGTATAGATGCAGATTAGTTAATGTGATATCATTAATAGCTAACGTAGGGCCTGCTGTAGGGTGAGCCTCCCTTACACCTGGGTGCCTGTCTCCTTGGCTAAGCCACCCGGAAGCGGCTCCTGCAGCCCCCCTCACCTGCGCTGGCCCTCCTCTGGCAGTCACAGCCTGGGGTGTGCTGAAGGCCCGCTCTGACTCTCCCTCTGTGCTCTCCCCACCCCACCCCCTGCTCTCTCTCTCAGTTCCTTGGTCTGTTGTCCAAGCTACCACAGCAGCCTGGACAGCCCTGTTGGTGTTTCCAGCCCTGTCCTCTCCTGAGTTCCATCCACCTGTGCACGGCTTTCTCATGAGTGTTTTCACGGATGGTTCTGCTGTCGTCTCCAACCTGATAAACAAAGCACCACGATTCAGCCCTCATGACCGCAGGCTTCCTCCCTCGGTTCCTTGCTTCTGCACATCCACTGAAGAAGCCGTCCACCTGTTCCACTGTTTCCCTGCACTGCGTCTCCTGTCTGCAGGAAGCCTTCAGCCCTCACTTCCACATTCCTCTAAGATGTGTGCCTGTCCCCTCCTGGGAAAGCTCTTTTTCCTAGCAGCCTCCGGGGTGAATCCCTCCTTTCCCACGTTGGTACTCTGTACACACAACACGCCCATTCCCTGCCTGGGGCGCTGGGCGTTGCTTCATGTATCAAAGGTCGATTTTCTCTCTGTTAAAATCACAGATGGTCATTGCACCATTGTGAGAATGAATGAAGATACTGCTTATAAATCAGCCAGCGAGGTACCCAGCCTGTGTGTCAGGGTCTCCCTGGGCATAAGGTGGTTAGAGTGTGTGACATGTCTGTCCCCAAGCATGTCAGCTCCCAGATCGAAGCCAGTGGGTCTAATTCATCCTTGCGGCACCCACAGTACTTGCACAGGGTTTTGTACACATATGTCGTTCTGTCAGTGTTCATGTTTAATGTTATCGATGGAACACTCCCACTTTGGAAAGGCTTGAATGTGTTCATCCCTGACCTTTCCACATCTTCTTAGTTCTTCCTTGGAAACAGCTGTACAGTTTCAATGCCCTGTGCATCCCTGGAGTCTATGTGTCTCTGTCATACATTCAGATTCTTCTTGCTTCGTGTCCCTCTCACACCCTTTTCTCTAATGACAAGCTCCGCCTGGGCATGCAAGCAAGGTGGAGGCTGACCCCTCACCTGGCATCCGGGACTGTAGTGCTGGGGACCTGCCTCCCTGCCCTGCCTACCCCCTACATCATGTGACCATTCCAGTCCAACCGATCAGTCCCTCAGGACCCCCAGCTTACCACATGCGTATCATTTATGCTGTGACCACTGACTAAACCATTCTCTTCCTTCCTCCCCATATTTCTAAATTTCTAATCATTGCTCAAAGCCCAATTCAGAGAAAACCCTAGCTTCTCCATGGCACTATCATTAACAATTTTATCTGGCCGCCCCCCAGGAAGTTCACTGGGCTAATCGCAGGACTCTTGTTTGCACCATGGCATCTCTTCAGCAGAACATAAATGTGAAGAGCACGTACATCCTTCATGGGAATTTAAAGGAGCTGGAAAGGGTGCTCACAGGAGTTTCATTCTCCCACAGAAATCTTGCATGGCGCCGTGCGGTTCAGCAACAACCCTGCCCTGTGCAACGTGGAGAGCATCCAGTGGCGGGACATAGTCAGCAGCGAGTTTCTCAGCAACATGTCGATGGACTTCCAGAACCACCTGGGCAGCTGTAAGTATCACATACACACTATCTCTGCCTCCAGTTCCTATGCGGGGGAGCTCTACAGCACTGGGGCCGGGGAGAGAAGCCATGTTTAATAAGTCACGTTAATCAGAAACAAAAAGTAAGCAAAATATCTGACCACTAGAAGAGCATGTATTTACCACAGACGTAGACATGGTTTTTTTGTGGCGGGTGGCAGCCCAGCTGGTTGGCAGTGCAGGCCACCCGAGGCAGATCCCCTGCAGGGGCAGCACTTGTGTCCCGAGAAGAGCCGCTGTTCACAGGGCGGACAGCACCAGGGCCTCTCCCAGCCTGTCCTGCTGAGACTCGCCAGACTCCTGCATGCTGCTGAGTCTCCAGAGGCTCCCCGGCCCTCCTGAAGCACCAGGGCTGAATCTACCCCCAGCTGAGGGCGTGAACACTGCCACATGGAGTCACACACACAGCTGGGCACTGCCCATGGGGAGGAAGTCTGTCCATGTTTCCTTGAATGCTGGTGGCCTGGTCCCTGTCCCATCCACCAGTGAGGCAGCCTGTGGGGAAGCCTGGCAGGAAATCAGGGGCAGGTCAGGGTGGCGCCGTGGCTGAGGCCAGCACTGATGGGGAACTCTGAGACGCAAGCTCACACTCACCCAGCTCCCCTGGGCTTTGCCTATTCCTGATCGCCCGGCCTTTCTGTTCTTTAGAATAAGAAGTGATCACCATTTCCTGCTTCTCTGTTTCTCCACAACTGTGCAGTGGATGCCTGTTTGTTTTCTGCCCTCAAAAAAAAAAAAAAAAAAGAGAGAGAGATCTGACATGAATCTTCAAAATCATCAACTAGAGGACTTTGGATTTTTGCATATTTGTTTTATTTTTTATTTTATGGATAGATTGTGATGAAATGCCCATAATACAAGATTTTCCATCTTAACCATTGTAAGTTATAATGTCAGTGGCATTACACATCCACATTGGTGTGTGGCCATCACCATTGTCCACACACAGAACTTTTTCATCTTGCAAAACTGAAACTCTACCCATTAGACAGTAACTCCCTGCTCTCCCTTCCTTCCCAGCCTCTGGCCCTGGCAGGCAACAGTCCACTTGATGTCTCTATGAATTTGACTGCTCTGGGGCTCTCATACAGGTGGAATCATGTAGTATCTGTCCTTTTGTGTCTGGCTTATTTCACCTAGCAAAATGTCCCGAAGTTTCATCCCTGTTGTAGCATGTGTTAAGAATGTCCTTCCTCTTCATGGCCGAATAACATTCCACTGTATGTTGACACTACATGTTGTTTGTCCATTCACCCATCTACAGACACTGGAGTTGCTTCCATCTTTTGACTGTTTGAATAATGCTGCTGTGAATATGAGTATTGAGGCTCTTTGTTTTATAGATATATTATTCCACCAGATACCCATCCCGACACCTACTATGTTTGCAAGAAACGGAACACTTTATTTTACATTGCAACATTTCATATTATGAGATCAAGGTTAGCATTTCTTCAGCTGTCTGGTGGACAATGGGAAGGTTAAATTGTGCACATTTTTTTAATGAACCTGGAACAGTTATGGGGCCAGTGTTTGCCATGGATCAGGTCAGGCAGCCCACAATAGCAGGCCTCCATGTTCTGTACAACTGTGGGAAAGACCCACAAAGAAACTGCTGGAAAGGGGAATGATGGGTGGGCTCATGCAAGAAAAAGACTCAAATACTACAGGGCTTTGAACTATAGGCCAATATAGCATTGCTTTAAGAATAAATATAAAAATAAGACAAATAAGAATAAGCCTAGCAAAATCAAAAGTCCATAAAGAGCTGACATTTCGAGCCAGTAAGGGAATAATTCATTATTCAATAAGTGGTCTGGAATGACTTAACTATTAGGGGTGAAAATATCAAAGTGAGAGAACTATAAAGGATTTTTAAAAAGGAACTAGGTATGTTGGGTTAGTCTCATTGGAGAGTGCAAATTCACCATCGACCTGATACCTGAAATTCCCTTCTTCCCATCTAGAGGCAAGTTGGGACTGCTGCCAGGCTCCTGTGGTAAACGAAGCCCCTCTCTTGACTGGTGCTGCTTTATGGCTACACATTCCTGCTCAGGACAGGTCTCATTTAGTCTTCACCAAAAAAAAAATCTCATGAGATGATTTAAGTGTTTTATGGACAAGATGTCTAAGATTCAGAAAAATTTCACAGTGTGCCCAACTTTTATGTTTATGTTGAAGTTGGGCATTAGAAGTTAGAATGAATGGGTTTACTTGAAAGAAAATTAAAATAAATCCATCACCCACTCCATGTAATATAAATTCCAAATGCATATTAAATACATATAATATTTAAAATATATGTAAGTGCCAGAAGGAAACATAAAGTAAAGATGAATATTTTGTAATATCAAGTTGAAGAAAAGCCAAAATCTGACATCATAAAAGAAAACTTTCATGTAAAATAACTTAATGGCTACCAGGAAAATATTGTGCAATGTCTGATTGCCATGAAGAGGGTTAATATCCTTGCTATATCACTCCCTGAAGTCATCTTTAAAAGACTAAGAAAGAGATGAATCTCTTAATAAAAACCTGACCCAGAACATGAGCAACCTCTCCTTCTCTCTCTCTCTCTCTCTCTCTCTCTCACACACACACACACACACACACACAAAGATGGCCAAGCAATAAAGTAAAATGTTATTTCTAATGTAGTAAAAAGGTCAAAATAAAATAAGAAAGCGTCACATCTTCCTTTGTGAAGTATTTGGGTTCCTTTTGCTTTTAAACACCTGGGTCAGCTGGGGTGTGGAGAAACAGATATTCTCATGTTCTGCTTGTGGGCATATATGTTTATAAAACCAAGCTTGGCAATACGCCTGCAATATGTATCTAAAGCTTCAAAGTATGTATAGCTTTGACCAATGAATATCACACTTATGAATAAGAGAAAAAGGAATAATAATGAAAGTGAAAATCATAAGAGATGTACAAACATATTCTTATACAAGAATCCTTGCAGCCTTACTTATAATAAATTTTCTGAACAAATTGTATATCTAAAAATAACAGATTGGTTGAATAAATTATGCTGCAGCAATGGTATTGATAATCATGTTAGATAGAAGCATATTTAAAGGCATGGAAAAACTGTCATGTTTTATCTGGGTTTTTAAGGTTATAACACAATGTATAGTGGGATTCCAATTCCTGTATATACATAGACTTATATGTCTATATTGATTAACTCTGGATGAGTCTCATGTCTTCTTTTTGCTTTCTTCTATTATCCATATTTTAAACGATGTGCCTGCATTTCTTTTTTGTAACAGATGGTCAATACTAGAATCATAAACAAATCTTAAGTTTGTTTGTTGGCAAACGTTTCCCCTGTTAGGAAAAGATGCATTTTTCTTTTAAACATTTCTCTCTTATACAACGATTACGTGCTTATAATAGAAATTTGAAAATTATATGTGAGTACAGGGTAAAAAGTAGAAAGAATGGGATTGCACGCTGCAGACCTAGCTGCTTTTAGCGTGCCTCTGTATGACCTTGCTTTCTCTAGACCTCTGTCGCAGTCTCTCTGCCTCCCTCCTCGCAACGTCCATTCCCTGCTGTCACTGTCGTGATGCCAGCCTCCCCAGCCTTCATGACTCTAAGGAGCACCAGTGCGGCATTAGCGCCCTTCGCCCTGGTGGTATCCTGGCTTCACAGTCACATGGGAGATCGATCGACAGCTTTTCTGTTTGAAATGTAAATTCTTCCTGACTGCAGGGGACCTCAGGACCCATGAACTCCTCTAGTTTACTATGTCTTCACAGAAAAAGATATCTGCATGACTGGACTCTTTAACAAATTTGGTGGTTAACCTGCTCTTTCTATGTAGATGTAGCACTTCGACCTTCAGACTTCTCAATACTGATAAAAAGAAAACACGACAGATGAGAAGAAAACCTTTGCAGCTGTAATTTGTAATCAACTAATTACAAAAACTGCAAAAATTGACCAGATAGCTAAGATTTTACACAGTCATTAAAGTGATCTGCACTGTTAACATTTCACCCTCTGTGCACCACTCTGTGCTTCTCTCTGGTTTGGAGTCGAGAAGGTTTTATTTACAGGCCATGACTTAACAATCCCAGAACGGCTGACACATCCAGTCACTCAAGACTGGACACAGCAAGGAAGCAGTGGGTCCATGCCAAAGGCTCAGCCAGACGAGACACTCTAGCTGTGGCAGGAGATGCCAGGGAACGCTCCATGCCTAAGCAGATTGTAAACAAGGAACCTCAAATTCATGAAAAATTCTCGCTTGTGTGGCCTGTATCAGTAATTACTCTCTGCCTCAGTTTCCACAGCTGACATGTAAATAAAAGCAGTTCATGGTTCATCTTCTTTTCTTATCGGGGTCTCTTAAGTGATTCTACAAACCAGCCAGCCAAACAATCAGAGAATAAGTTGAAAAGATTGTCTTCATTTATTGAACATGCTTAACTCAGGCCTGGGAAAGGGCGTCATCAGTTTCTCATCATTCCTTCCCTTTCACTGAGATATGCATCTGTTACTTTTACATTTCAGGCCAAAAGTGTGATCCAAGCTGTCCCAATGGGAGCTGCTGGGGTGCAGGAGAGGAGAACTGCCAGAAACGTAAGTCAGTGAACAGCCTCAGACCCACATGTGACCGCCCCTCTCTTCCTTCACTTACTTAGGTGATTGGATTTGTTTTCCCTTTGAAGACTCCGAAGAGTTATTTTATTACAGGGCCAGATGTGAACTGGTAGGTGAAGGACAGTCTTGCAAATCTCACCGCATGTGGTTAATCCAGGGTGGGCTATTTTGGGTGCTTCAGCCTGTCACAAATAAGTGAACACCAGCAGGTGCTGGGCACGATGGTTCTCGCCTATAATCCCAGCACTTTGGGAGGCCGAGGTGGGCGGATCACGAGGTCAGGAGATTGAGATCATCCTGGTTAACACGGTGAAACCCCATCTCTACTAAAAATACAAAAAATTAGCCTGGCGTGGTGGCGGGCGCCTGTAGTCCCAGCTCCTTGGGAGGCTGAGGCAGGAGAATGGCGTGAACCTGGGAGGCAGAGCTTGCAGTGAGCCGAGATCGCATCACTGCAGTCCAGCCTGGGTGACAGAGCGAGACTCCGTCTCAAAACAACAACAACAACAACAATAAGTGAACATTAGCAGGTACCCCAGCCCTGTCCTCTGAACACAGCACACTTTCCCGGGAATGGAAGACTTGTCCCTGTTGACAGCAGTCCCCAGGTTTCTTGTTTCCTCTCCCTCCCTGGCTTTCTTTGGTATCCACCTACACAGAAGCCCGAGCACGGTTTCTCATAGGGTCTTGTCCATGTGGACCGTGCTTTATGATGGAGAGGGCCATTCTCTCGGGTATGGCTGTCTGGCTCAGCCTCTCAGTGGCCAAGGAACCTGTGGACATGAGCTCAAAAACGGACCCTATGTCCTTAAGCTGAACTGTGGGGTGGCTGTTAGACCCTTCTAAACACTACTTCCCAGCAGGTATTTCTGTTCTTTGTATGTGCTTCCTGCATTGCCCAAGATGTATCTAATTATTTAGGAGGTCTCAAAGTCTAGACTTGATCTGATCAGTTCTCTTAAGTGATGAAAAATAAATCAGGAGAAAAAAGAGGCAATCAGAAAAGGGCATGGTTTGACTTAGCTTGAGTGTGATTTCACTGGAAGCAAATGTGTCTTCACTTTTTCGTGAAAAAGTCTGCGAGCACTCTGCGACATCCCTGGGAAATGATCCTACCCTCACTCTTCAGCTCACGGGGGACCTTTGCTCTTTTGCAGTGACCAAAATCATCTGTGCCCAGCAGTGCTCCGGGCGCTGCCGCGGCAAGTCCCCCAGTGACTGCTGCCACAACCAGTGTGCCGCGGGCTGCACGGGCCCCCGGGAGAGCGACTGCCTGGTAAGATGCCCCTCCGGCAGCCTCCCTGGAGCAGGTTGTGGCTGCACTCTCTCCACCTACACCAGGACAGAGGACCTCCTGTAGGGGAGCTGTCAATTAGCATTTGTAGTAACAGACAGGATATTGCCCTCTGCCTGGTGACAAAGTATCTTTAGTGTCCTGCCTCCACCACTCACTGAGACCTTGGGAAAATGATAGGACCTCCATACCTCCATTTCCTCGCCTGACAATGATGCATAACAAAGTCTCTCCCAGTTGAATGCTTAAATGATGCGATGCCTGTGATGTCCAGCATTAGGACCTGGGCACAGAACAAGCACTAACTACTACATGCAAGTATTTGCATGAATGTGCCTTGTTGCCAGCAGTACACTCTCTTTATTGTTTGACTATACCTCCAGAGACTTGACACTGTGAGGTCCCTAAGAGACCTATGGAGAGCCACACAGGTCTTGGTAACTGGGGCTGCTTTAGGGCCTCCTGACACGGATCCGTCGGCTCCTCCACCACTGCTCAGGCACCTCCTGAGCTGCACCCTGCCCTCAAGGGGTCCTGAAGTACTCACTCTCGCCCCATTACTGCAGAAAGTGCCAGCAGAAGCCTTGCTGCCCCAGCGGGCTCTGGGCAGCACTGGAGGGTGCAGGTCAGAAGTGTCTTGGAAGCCCTGGAGATGCCAAGGCTGGTGGATGTGACTGCTGGAGTGGGAGCTGGTGTGACGAAGCCCTCCCTAAGACTAAATGCAGATCTCTCTGTGGTTTCAGGGAAGATTCCTAAATTCCAGAGGCTGGACCCAGACCCAGGAATTGTAACTTGGTTGGCCTGGGCTGTTTCTAATGTGAGCCCCAGGGAGAAGACTGTGAAGACGTAGGGTTGATCTTAGGGAGAGCCCCCGCTGCATTGGGTCTGGCCCCTTTACAGGGCATCGTTCTAGCAAGGTTTACTGCCATTCAGCAATACATTATAAAATGTACCCTCAACTGTACTTTATAAGGGAAGCCCAATGTAATCTGAGTTTAAACATAATTTCACTCCATAGTCACCGCTATAATATGTGAACTCCATCATCTGTATGTTAGTAAAGAGACGTATTTTTATCATAGTCCATAAATTATGATAGGTGGGACAGTGCACCTAAGAAAAAAACGGACTTTTTAGAGAAGGGTCTTTCTGACTCTGCAGAGGGCGCCAGCTCGGTTTTCCCCACTAGTTGAACACTGAGCTGTGAAGATGGTAACTTGGGCTTTCTGACAGGAGTCAACACAGTGCTGCGCTTCCTCCGTGTGTGGCGCCGAGTGTCCTTACCTCACTTGCCCAGCATGTCCTTTCTCCTCCACAGGTCTGCCGCAAATTCCGAGACGAAGCCACGTGCAAGGACACCTGCCCCCCACTCATGCTCTACAACCCCACCACATACCAGATGGATGTGAACCCCGAGGGCAAATACAGCTTTGGTGCCACCTGTGTGAAGAAGTGTCCCCGTGAGTCCTCCTCTGTGGGCCCTCTGACTGATCAGGCATCCTTGTCCCGCTCTGTCTCCTGCTGAGCCCTGGAGTATCCCATCTTGGAGAGTCTTTGGGTGGATGTGTTTGCCTCGCTAGGGGGAGGCAACCCTGTGCCCGTCCAGGCGCAGAGGTGAGGGGCTGCCTTGCTCCCGAGGAGTGGGTAGGTGGTGGCCATCCCCACCCACGGGGGCTGCTCAGTGCACAGGGCAGAACTTGGGGCCAGGCCACCTCACAGGAGAAACACCTGCTGCTCAGCCCTCACCACTCATCCAGCATCCACAGCTGAGGGTATTCAGTTGTCTGCTGGGCATAAAGCCGTGGGCATGTCACTATTTAGTGCTTGTGCCAAGCAGGTATTTAATAGACCGAAATCAGAGAGTCTATCAGAAGACCTGCCTTCTTGAGTGGTTAAAATTCTAGTGAAAGTTATGCCTCTTCGGAGTATTGCAGAGGTTTTGTCTTTGTTTTTATTTTGTTTTGTTTTAATGGTTTGGGTTTGAGTTTTGCTTGTTTGTACTTACATTTGTCCTGGTGGCTCCAGAGTTTAGGGAAATTGTGACATAAAATACTTCCTGTTAGAGAAAACAAAACTTTGTCTAATGAAAGAGTTTTAGAAGCCAGTCTTGATCTCTAGAAGGGGAGATTAACTGAGAAAAAAAAATTGAAAGAAAAATTATGAGGGGTAGATTTTACCCTGCCAGATTTGTGTACATGAAACATATTACACTCTGTATGGGGAAAAACTACAAAATAATAAGCCATTATAAGGTAAATGACAAACGAAGCTAAAGAAAAATGTGCCACATTGATGACACAGATATAGTCTTTGAGATAGGACTTAATAGAGCTTTAAAATCCATAGGAAAACACCTCGAGCCTGAGATACCGAGAGCAGACGGTTCACAGAAGAATCACCAAGGTCCTATAAATATTTTTGAGGATCTTCTTGGGGAACTTAAAACAGGAACAGGCCGGGCACAGTGGCTCATTGGCTCATGCCTGTAATCCCAGCACTTTGAGAGACCAAGGGGGCTGGATTGCCTGAGGTCAGGAGTTTAGGACCAGCCTGGCCAACAAGGTGAAACCTCGTCTCTACTAAAAATACAAAAATTAGCTGAGCGTGGTGGTGCTTGCCTGTAATCACAGCTGCTCAGGAGGCTGAGGCAGGAGAATCACTTGAACCCAGGAGGCGGAGGTTGCAGTGAGCTGAGATCACACCACTGCACTCCAGCCTGGGTGACAGAGCAAGACTCCCATCTCAAACAAACAAAAAAGGAACACATAGAGCTCCCAAAAATAACACAGAAGTCAGCTATCAACACAAACGAATTACTTTAAAGGTGGGAGCAGGTGGAGAAGAGGGCTGAGGTGCCTGCTGGGACACAGAACAGCTGGCCCCTCAAGGGACCCAGGGCCACGTCGGGAAGGGCCATGGAGAGCAAAGCTGGCATCAGCCGCAAGAATAAAATGCAGCCTCACCTATAGCTGCTTCGGTGGAAGAGTGCTTTTTTTAGGTTTACGTATTTTTAATGAGCATTCCAACTTTAACCATAAGCCCTGGGGACAGATCCTACAAGGAAGAACATGAGCTCACAGAGGTGCTTTAACCTAGTGAGCAACGCCATGCTTTTTCCCTGACACCTGTTTCCTGCCCTGATGAAACACCTGTATTATCCACATTGCAGCCTAGAATTTATTAAACTATTGAACGGGATTCCGTTTCTATTTGCAACCTTTCATTCTTTGTCCTTAAAGTAAATAAAGCCAAAGGAGGATGGAGCCTTTCCATCAGCCCTTGAGAGGAGGACCTGGACTGTCTGTGTGAGGCCCAAGCACCTGGCGCCGCCGTCGTCACCTTCCTTTCATGCTCTCTTCCCCAGGTAATTATGTGGTGACAGATCACGGCTCGTGCGTCCGAGCCTGCGGGGCCGACAGCTATGAGATGGAGGAAGACGGCGTCCGCAAGTGTAAGAAGTGCGAAGGGCCTTGCCGCAAAGGTAGGAAGCCCGCTGGTGTGCGGATGAGGCTTGTTCTTAGCTGCTGAGGCTGGGCTTTCATGCCACCTCCAAATGAACACTACTTCTTCTTTTCATTAAAAAACAACTATAAATATCATTTCTTTAAAATAGAAGATAAAGCTGCAAAGCCAGGTTAGGCAATGGGAAGGCACTGAAGGTTGTGATAGGGTGGGGGGCTCCGACGAGAACAGTGCACAGAGCCAGCCCCTCAGCAGCTGCCAGATGCCCAGCCCTGGGGAGAATCCAGGGAAGGCAGAGCTGGAAGCAGTCCAGCTCCATGCGGCCCAGGGGAAATAATGAGGAGAATGCAAGGTCGGTGTGCGGAGACAGGGATGGCATCTCCTACACCACCGTAGCCCCAAAGTGTGCTATAGGTCCTCGTGTCCCCCTGCCCCCCGCACCCTCCCCAGCCCCGTCAGTGTTTGTTGAGTGAATGAAGGCTGATGTGGCAGTGGCTGTTCCCGCGACTGGAATTCCTTCCTGCTTCCCTCTGCCTGTGGATCCCTAGCTATTCTTAATCCACCAATGTGAACGGAATACACGTCTCTCTTATCTCTGCAGTGTGTAATGGAATAGGTATTGGTGAATTTAAAGACACACTCTCCATAAATGCTACAAATATTAAACACTTCAAAAACTGCACCTCCATCAGTGGCGATCTCCACATCCTGCCGGTGGCATTTAGGGGGTGAGTCACAGGTTCAGTTACTTGTATAGAGAAAAACAAAGTCTGCCTTTTTAACTGGTAGAGACTGGTGATCAATAATCACCTGTTGTTTGTTTCAGTGACTCCTTCACACACACTCCGCCTCTGGATCCACAGGAACTGGATATTCTGAAAACCGTAAAGGAAATCACAGGTTTGAGCTGAATGATCGCATGAATATAAATGGGAAATCAGTGTTTTAGAGCGAGAACTTTTCGACATATTTCCTTCTCCCTTGGAATAAAAACATTTCTTCTGAAATTTTACCATTAATGGCTGATGTTTTGATACTTTTCAAAAGTACAGTTTCCCTGCAGGCAAAAGGGACACGTTAAGCCCAGGCTTGGGTCATTCACTGTGCATGTGAACACGCTTTCTCCCTCCTACCCGGCCCCAGCCAGCTGCCTTGGTGGCCCATAACCCCTGCGGGTAGAGGGAGAGGACAGGGGTAGGCGAGGGGCAGCCTGGGCCTCAGGCTTTTGAAACTGGATGCCACAGCCCTATGGGGCCACTGGCAAGCCTTGGGTCCATGACTGCCACCTGAGCTCCGCTTCCTTCCTCTCTAAAATGGGAACATTAGACTTATATAACATGACTGTTTTAGGGTTGGAATCAAATAAGGAAAATCTGTAAAGCTCCTTGTATGTGATACCAGATCCATAACTGGCAGATAATCGCAGCAGAAGCCTCTTGGGGGTAATCAGATACCCCGCGCAGCAGGGGTCCCAGGGCCACAGCCAGAGGGGCAGCGGGAGACATGGGGAATCGCTGGGGGAGGCGGGAGGCAGCCGTGAACTCTGGCTGGCCTGCATCCGCCCATTCGCATGTACACTCAGAGAAGATGATAACGAAAAAGAAAGCAAATCCAATTTTCCCACTCACTGTTCCTATAATACAAAGTCCCTAAGAGTCTAGAGTAATGTCTCATACAAAAAAGAAACTCCTGTGTGGTGTGTGTCTGAGTCTCCTCTGCCTTACAGGGTTTTTGCTGATTCAGGCTTGGCCTGAAAACAGGACGGACCTCCATGCTTTTGAGAACCTAGAAATCATACGTGGCAGGACCAAGCAACAGTAAGTTGACCACAGCCAAAGAGCCTGGTAGATTACATTTTGCCTTTTTAGTTGGAAATTAGGCTTAACAGGAGAGTTGCTAAGATAGGGCACAGAGCTCCTGTATCTCTCGCCGGCATTCCCGAATGCTATCTCACATGAGCAGGCACAAGGATCAAGACTGAACGACCACTGGCACAGGCTGTCCGCTAAACCACAGACTTCTCAGTGTTCGCCAGTGCTTATGCTTCTGTGTCCACTCCAGATCCCACGTTGCACTTAGTTGTCAGATCTTTTCAGTCCATTCTAACCTGTAATAGCTCCTATGTCTTTCCTTGTCTTTCATGGCCTTGACTCTTATAAAACGTGTTGTTCAGGTACTTTGCAGACTGTCTAACCATTTCAGTTCGGCTGGTGTTTTCTCAGGATGCAGTTGAGGTTATGCACATCTTATCACGGGGACCAGATAGACTTTTTAGCACCACTCTTTAAGAATTTCCACATTTTCAGCTTTGACAGTGGAATAGACTTGCAGGTGCTCACACACAAGCATCTTTAATATGGTAATGGTAATCATCAGTTTAGTGGTATAGAGGAGGAGATGGGAATCTCTTAGTGAAACCCGCCTTGGAAGCAGCCTCCTTATGAGAACTGCTGCCCCTACTTGACTCCTAAAGCACTAGATAATACTGTGCAACATTAAAGAGAATAAGAGTGCATGAAATATGCATTGCCTCCCATAAACTCCCTTGGCTCTGAATCTCTGATACTAAATATGTGGCTACCATTGCTTCCCAGAAAAGCCTTTTTGCTCTGAATTCTCTGGAATACCTTCTTTGCCTGAGATTCTTATAAAAACAAGAGATTTTGAGCAATTTTCTTGGATGGCTGGTATGAGCCAGTTGGCTTAGTTGTAGGGATTTAAACAAGATAAGGGTTACTTACTTTTCACATTTAATGAGAAGTCTGGTGATTCCAGCTCCTACTGAGGCAGGGTGGCCACAGGTTCCAGGTCATGACTCACTGAAGCTCCAGGCCTGCCCTGCAAGGAACATTTGGCTCTTCCCTGGTATCTGGCCTCCCTGGGCATATGTGGGGGAGAATTCCTAATGGTATTGGTTACAGGCTCCTATGCAAGACCACTCATCAGTGTAGGAGAAAGGGAAAAAGATGGGGGAAAGAAGAGCAGCAGGGAGAGGAGAAGCCTCTGGATGATACTCTAATCCCCTGCCATCCAACATCTGAACATCAGTCTTTTCATCCAGTGCTTTCAGCTGGCCCAGTCCCCAGCCTGGGGTCAGATGAGAGCTTCCTGCAAATGCAGATCTCTTTCCTGTGGCTCCTTCTCAATTACAGACAGCTCCTGCACAAGGTGCACTCTGGCCTTTTACTCCCTCCCCAAACCAGCCCAGCCCTCCCAGCCTGCATCATCGTGGTCCTGCAGGGGCTAGAGGTTCTCACACCCATCATGGTCTGGCAGGAGCTAGTGGTTCTCACACCTATCATGGTCCAGGAGGGGCTAGTGGTTCTCACACCCATCGTGGTCCAGGAGGGGCTAGTGGTTCTCATACCCATCGCGGTCCGGTGGGGCTAGTGGTTCTCACACCCATTGCGGTCCGGTGGGGCTAGTGGTTCTCACACCCATCGTGGCCCCCCAGGGGCTTAGTGGTTCTCACACCCATCGTGGTCCAGGAGGGGCTACTGGTTCTCACACCCATTGTGGTCCAGGAAGGGCTAGTGGTTCTCACACCCATCGTGGTCTGGTGGGGCTAGTGGTTCTCACACCCATCATGGTCCAGGAAGGGCTAGTGGTTCTCACACCCATCGTGGTCCGGTGGGGCTAGTGGTTCTCATACCCATCGTGGTCCGGCAGGGGCTTAGTGGTTCTTATACCCATCGTGGTCCAGGAGGAGCTAGTGGTTCTCATACCCATCGTGGTCCGGTGGGACTAGTGGTTCTCACACCCATCGTGGTCCGGCAGGGGCTTGCTTAGTGGTTCTTACACCCATCGTGGTCTGGCAGGGGCTTAGTTGTTCTTACAGCCATTGTGATCCAGCAGGGGCTAGTGATTCTCACACCCATCATGGTCTGGCTAGGGCTAGTGGTTCTCACACCCATCGGGGTCCTTCAGGGGCTAGTGGTTCTCGTACCCATCATAGTCCAGGAGGGGCTAGTGGTTCTCACACCCATCGTGGTCCTTCAGGGGCTAGTGGTTCTCATGTCCAACGCATGCCTTCCTGCTCCTCTAGGTGACTGAAGACATCCCCCCTTCAGTCTGAATGACTTCCATCCAGTCATCTGATATACACATTGGACCACCCAATAGCGTCCTAGCATCATGTTGGATGGTGAAGAAAATGCCACAGTTCCTGCTCTCAGGGCCTCACAACCTTGGGCATAGCTTTTTGGAGGAAGGCCCGGCTTCCCAGGCATCCCTCCCAGACCTGTTCAGAGGCCCCTGCGCCTTTCTTCCTTGTTGCCCACACTCACTGTGCTCTTCGCACCGGCTCAAAATTATCTGTTTACAGGGTTGTATCACCACCAGATCAAGGGTCCTTGAGAGGAGGAAACATATTTAACCTGCACAGAATTTAGGACAGAGAACATCAAGTGTTTGTTCAATAAATATATGAATGGATAGAGGGACAGGTTGGGTGGTGGACAGAAGGACAAACCCACACCTTTGAAGTGTATTTGGCTGTTTGAGAGGCTTTTTTAGAATATGTTCTCAATTTCCAAGCAAAATGAAAATGGAGAAATATAATGACATTAAGGCATTTTATTCATCCTCCCCATCTGCCACTGGGGTTAAAGATACTAAATAAACAAGGAACTAGCTTTTGCCTGCAGGAACTTAAAAAACACCTGCAGTTTTCAAAAGTTGCAGTGTGTGCCTCCCACAGCATGACTTACCGTCATTGGAAAGCAGTTTGTAGCCAATCAAAGGTGGTCTGGAAAAACAAAGTTTTCAGGGATACATTGTTTTTATAATTTTCACCACATGATTTTTCTTCTCTCCAATGTAGCGGTCAGTTTTCTCTTGCGGTTGTCAGCCTGAACATAACATCCTTGGGATTACGCTCCCTCAAGGAGATAAGCGATGGAGATGTGATAATTTCAGGAAACAAAAATTTGTGCTATGCAAATACAATAAACTGGAAAAAACTGTTTGGGACCTCCAGTCAGAAAACCAAAATTATAAGCAACAGAGGTGAAAACAGCTGCAGTAAGTCACTGCTTTCTCTTTTGTTTATGGAATTGGTTCTAATGGGTCCTTTATTTTTATTTAGAATATTGAAGGGCTATTCCCATTTAAAATCCTTTTTTCAGTTCCTTAAGAAGCAAATTAAAATCTTAAGATTCCTAATTGTGAAATTACCATGTGAATTCCATTAAAACTTTTTCCAGATCATTATCATTCAATAGGATGAATTTACCCTGAGGTTTAGGCTACCAATTATTTGTAATTTAAGTAACTAAATTTAGTATTAGTTATATTACCTTTTAGCTGTAGGTCACTCTCTGCGCATTTCAGCCTGTAAAGATTGCAGCTACACACACACACACACACACACACACACACACAGGAATGGAATGAACACTTTACATCAACACTTCCTGTTCTTACTCTAGAGCTTTTGAAGGGGGCAAGAGCCTGGCCTGTGCTGGGCTTTGGCCATGGGCAGCGTCAGCTTTGAGTCAGGTGCTGGTCTGGCCTCCCTAGCTTCGAGGCCCCTGTCAATTCCCTTCATCTCTTTAGGTTTTGGCTTCCTCATCCATAAAATGGAGATATGAATGATTCCCACGCCATAGCGCTTTGAGAGAATTCAGTGAAATTCTGTGTGTGAAACTCTTCCATGGTGCCTAGCACATAGCACACAGCCAATGGCCCAATGGCCCCTATCGGCTGTGGGATTTGTCATCAGAACATCACCAGCTCTGCTCCAGGCTGCCCTGGGCACCATCAAAACACACCCTGTGCCCAGCAGCACCTGCCCCTCTGCACGCCTGGCCCCTTCACCAGCAGCGGTGGCTGTGGGAGCACAGAAAACAAGGAGTCCCATCTGGTTTAATTGATGCCATTGCCAAAGGGGAGGACTCATGGCACCCCCTCTCGGGTGCCAGAGCGCCTGTCCTCCACTGTCAGGCACATTTCAGTCTTCCCAGCAGCCAGCACAACTGTTTTGTCCTTCCAGTCACTGTCGGCCTCTGGGAAGCCCAGTCTGTGTCCTCTTCCTTCAGGGATGCCCAGCATGTCTGTGCCACCCAAAGTCACGGAGCACAGGGCCCCTCCCGGGAAGGTGCCGTCTCCTGTGGCCCTTCAGGTCCCTGCTCTGTCACTGACTGCTGTGACCCACTCTATCTCCACAGAGGCCACGGGCCAGGTCTGCCATGCCTTGTGCTCCCCCGAGGGCTGCTGGGGCCCGGAGCCCAGGGACTGCGTCTCCTGCCAGAATGTCAGCCGAGGCAGAGAATGCGTGGACAAGTGCAACATCCTGGAGGGGTAGGAGGTTATTTCTTTAATCCCCTGGCTTTGATCAAAAATAAGGCTCCAGGTTGTTGTTATAGCTTTACAGGCATTCTGTTTGATTTTTTTCCTTTTAGTCTTTGCCCTTGGCTTTTGGAGGTTTTGGGGTTTTCTGTGGGGAGATGGGAGGTTGTTTGATTGCTTTATTTTTTGGAAAAGTTAATCACAATAGGAAATAAGCAAGTATTGTTACCTAATTTAATCCAATAATTTATAGAATCTCTTTTCCTGGAAGTATCTTAAATTTGTCTAAGCTACAAAAAGTTCCTAAGACAAATGAGACAGTCATCAGTGGTTCATCTGGCCAGCACCGTGGCCATTTGGGCTCTTCTTTGCAGTGCCCGATTCCTGGTGTGTGAAAATAAATTAACACAAATTATATTGCCAAGTTAATATCTGTTTTATGTGCCCCCAGCATGTGTTGAACATCAAACAGTACCAGGAGCTTTAAATATACCCACGGACAAAGAAATAATTCATAATGATGCTTGTTGAATTTAGTTGCAATCAATAAAAGGTGCAGTTTGTGGATGCTCTGAGGATCTTGATATTGACATAAGGCTTTGAACGACAAATGAGGACAAAAAATAAATAGGAAAGTAAAACTGAAGGATAGAGGCCAAGGCCATGTTTTAGAAGATTTAAAGAAAAAGGGAAATTTGGTGAGCACCATAGGAATTACAGAAGGCTGTAGGAAATCTTCCTGTTCTACTCTCTGGGCATGGACCACAGCTTGGATCCAGAAATATTTAGGAACAGGATAAGAGGACCAAGTTCAATTCTATAGGAATTCTTTAGCTGATAGGCTGAGAACAAATCACATAATCAGTAGTGCTGCTTCAATTTCAAGTAAGGAATATTAATGCAATCCTTACGGCTACAAATGGACAGTGGTCTCATGTTTTCAGTTTTCAAGTGTTTCTTAAGAGGCAGGGTGATGAAAATACCCATGTGGGGAGCCCCATGTCCTTCCGTTAGTGTAGAAAAGCCTGGTGTCCAGCAGCACCTGCTCCCTCTGCAAGCCTAGCCCCCTTCAGCAAGGGCAGTGACCCGGAGAAGAAGCACAGAAGACACAACCCTGTATCATATTTTGTTTAATGGGTGCCATTGACCAAAGGGGAGGATGAAAGGCACACACATTTTTGTTGTTGTATTTTCAGACAGAGTCTCACTCCATCACCCAGGCTAGAGTGCAATGATGTGATCTCAACTCACTGCAACCTCTGCCCCTTCGTTCAGGCGATTCTCCTGCCTCAGCCTCCCAAGTAGCTGGAATTAGAGGTGTGTGCCACCACGCCCAGCTCATTTTTCGTAACTTTAATAGAGACAGGGTTTCACCATGTTGGCCAGGCTGGTCTTGAACTCCTGACTTCAAGTGATCTGCCTGCCTCGGCCTCCCAAAATGTTGGGATTATAGGCATAAGCCACTGCGCCTGGCCAAGGCACATGCTTTTGAGAATAAACACTCCTTGTTCACTGCTGGAGGATAGAACTATGCTTGACTACCAGGCAGAGTCCAATCTTCCTGACAAACAGCCACACGTCTGCTCTGTCTTTTCAATTAAACAATTCTTGCTTAACACTGATCTGTACATCTTGAGGGATGTCAAAATATTACAAGCTAAATTTTGCACACCTGTGTTCCACACTCACCATTTTTAGTAATAACCATTGAGCAAGTTCATTCTCCCTCCTTCCTTTTTCTGTCACTTAATCTAAAATTATCATTTTTCCAGCTTAATTTCAATAACCATGAATCTGGTATTAGAGGCAGGGAACACCTTTTCAGGATGTCTTTTCTTTTATCATTTGACTTGCTTACCCAATGTGCAAAAACTATGCTGTAGAAAATGCAGAAAAGATACCTTGATTATGAATGACGCTCCTGTGTTTACTCAGAGAGAAGATGACCCAGGATTCAGTTAACAAAATCAGCTGATTATATTACTGTATCGTCCTGGAGTCCCAACTCCTTGACTATTACCTCAAGTTATTTGGAATTTCAGAGAGGTGATTTGTGTTCCTGCAACAATGTATCAGGGGAGGGCTGACAGGTTTCCTCTTCCTCCTCTCAGCGAGCCAAGGGAGTTTGTGGAGAACTCTGAGTGCATACAGTGCCACCCAGAATGCCTGCCCCAGGTCATGAACATCACCTGCACGGGACGGGTAAGAGCCCCTTGCTGCTATCCACATCCACTTCATGGGAAGGGCCTTCACAGAAGCCGAACCATGACGATGGCCCAGGGCATCCAATGTGGGCAGGACAGCCATCAGAGCCACTTCCCAGAGAAGATGGCAGGCTCTAACAGTGCTATCCAGGCAGCGTGTCTGTGACATTAGCACACACCCGCCTGCGATGACCATTCACTCTTTCTGCTGACACCCCCAACCTTATCTAAGCTTATCACATCCTCACATTTAACAGCAGCTGTTTTCACCTGGTTTCCTCCATCCCTGACCTAGTCAGCATTGCTTTATCACTTTCATCAAATGTCCTCAAATTTTTAACATTACTTTATAATTAATTGAAGAAGTTTTAAAGAAATTCCTAACAAAACTTTTTAAGCTGCACAGTTTTGTATCTATATGTTCAATAACATAGATACAATATTCTTTACAATATTCTTGTAAAGAATATGAGTGAGAATTCGCACCCCTCTCACACCAAATGTCCTGATGTTGTTAATTCTCAATGTTATTACATAGGGAGCTCTGTTTGTATGTGAGCTTAAACAGCCAGTTGTAAATCTACTAACTGAAAACATTTTTTAGACATTCTCTAAATTGTGCAGAAGATGACAGGACCGTGTTTTGAGGGATAGGCTGCCAGCATGACTGGTTACAAAGTGAAGCCTTGGTTTATAGGTTTACATGGTGTGGGTTAAATTTCCGTCATTAAAATAATTGGCAATATTGACATAGTCATCTAGATGTGCTGGCTCTGGGCACGTGCAGCCTCTGAGTGGACAAAACCGACATTAGAGAACTTAGCCAAGGCGAAAGCCTTTCCCTGCTGGTTTCATTTCTGCTACTTCTGAAGTGTGGGGCACACAACCTGAGCAATGCTTTTATTTGAGTCCCAGTGCTTTTATTTGAGTTTTGCAAGGTTATTCCAAGTTTTGCAAACAGAATCAAAGGTAGCATATGACTCAGTCCTTGATACGCCAACCACTGCACAGAGACTTGCCACCTTCCTGTCACTGGAGAAACACCCATGTGGGTTTTCTTAAATTTGCCTCCCTCTGAGCTTCCCTTTAGCTTCAAATATAATATGCAAGAAAAACTATCTGACCATAAATACACATGTGGGCCAATGAAGATGGTTTTACCAAGGAAAGATGCCCACAATGTGTTAAGCAGAATGCAATAATGTAGAGAATATCATTTCATTCATGCTCGTGTGTATTACATGCATTCAAAAACAGGGAGAATTTCTACTAAGCAACTGACAGTGACCTTATCAAGCAAGTGCAATCACAGAAGAACTGGTTTTCTCCTTTAAAAATTTTTCTATCATTTGGCTTTCCCCACTCACACACACTAAATATGTTAAGTAAAACGTTACTTCCATTTTGAAAGAGAAAAGAAAGAGACATGCATGAACATTTTTCTCCACCTCGGTGCAGGGACCAGACAACTGTATCCAGTGTGCCCACTACATTGACGGCCCCCACTGCGTCAAGACCTGCCCAGCAGGAGTCATGGGAGAAAACAACACCCTGGTCTGGAAGTACGCAGACGCCGGCCACGTGTGCCACCTGTGCCATCCAAACTGCACCTACGGGTGAGTGGAAAGCGCAGGATAACAGAACATTTCCTCTCGCAAATTCAGAGATCGAAAATGTCTCTAAAGTTTTCAGGCAACAAATTGCAGAGGTTTGTATTTGAGTCAGTTACTTAAGGTGCTTTGGCCCCCACAACCATGGCAGGAGCAACATGGTTGTGGGCAGGCCTCGGTGCAGTGGGACTGACTCTGTCGTGCACCATGTCTCCGGCCAGGCCTGTGTTGTTCTTTGCTGCGCATTGCAACAGGAGGGTAGGGGGACAAAAAGAGCACAGGTCCTGGCAGCTGCCACCTCGGCCTGTCTCCAGGGGCTTTTGCGTCTCTCTCCAGATTTCTAAGGTTAGCATGGGATTAACTGTTTTGCAATGAATAAAAGGTAACATTGCCTGGAATGTTGCTTCAAGACACTTTTTAAAAGCTAGTTGGTTGTTAAGTTGTTGCTACTTGAATTAAAACTACTTTAACTGGACCAGACGCAGTGGCTCATGCCTGTAATCCCAGCACTTTGGGAGGCCAAGGCAGGCAGATCACTTGAGGTCAGGAGCTCGAGACCTGTCTGGCCAACATGGTGAAACCCCATCTCTACTAAGAATACAAAAATTTAGACAGGCGTGGTGGCAGGCACCTGTAGTCCCAGCTACTCAGGAGGCTGAAGCAGGAGAATTGCTTGAACCCAGGAGGCAGAGGTTGCAGTGAGCCAAGATTGCACCACTGCACTCCAGCCTGAGCACCAAGAGCAAAACTCTGTCCCAAAAAAGCAAAAGCAAAAAAACTACTTTGATTGGAATTAGCAGAAGCACTCTGATTGTGTGTATCTAATTTACTGGAAGAGTAAAGCTGTCATTCAAACTGGGTCGTACTCAACAATCAGAAAGAGAAGTTGAGCTGTCATGTAGTAGTTCACACTTACTTCTGTTTCTCAAAATCCTCAGCCTTGTTTGGAAATGTTACTCATTCTTTCTCTGAATCCATCTGTATGAGTTGTGTGGCCTTGGGCAAGGGTCTTACCTTCTCTGTGCCTCAGTTTCTTTTCTGTAAATTGGGATAATGATGCTGCATAGCTCACAGGATGTTTATGACCATGAGTGAAGATACATCATATACTTAAAATGGTGCCTGGAAAATGGTGAATACTGAGTCAATGATAGCATTGTTGATGGTGGTGATGGTGATGAGGAGGTGGGAGTCACAATGGTGGTGGTGATGGTGTTGATGGTGGTGAGGAGGTGGGAGTCACAATCATGGTGGTGTTGAGGGTGGTGATGGTGGTGAGGAGGTAGGAATCACACTGGTGGTGGTGTTGAGGGTGGTGATGGTTATGAGGAGGTGGGAGTCACAATGGTGGTGGTGTTGATGGTGGTGAGGAGGTGGGAGTCACAATGGTGGTGGTGTTGATGGTGTTGATGGTGGTGAGGAGGTGGGAGTCACAATGGTGGTGGTGTTGATGATGGTGAGGAGGTGGGAGTCACAGTGGTGGTGGTGATGAGGGTGGTGATGGTGAGGAGGTGGGAGTCACAATGGTGGCAGTGTTGATGGTGGTGAGGAGGTGGAAGTCACAGTGGTGGTGGTGATGAGGGTGGTAATGGTGGTGAGGAGTTGGGAGTCACAGTGGTGGCAGTATTGATGGTGGTGAGGAGGTGGGAGTCACAATGGTGGTGGTGATGATGGTGTTGATGGTGGTGAGGAGGTGGGAGTCACAATGGTGGCGGTGTTGATGGTGGTGATGGTGATGAGGAGGTGGGAGTCACAATGGTGGTGGTGATGATGGTGTTGATGGTGGTGAGGAGGTGGGAGTCACAATGGTGGTGGTGTTGATGGTGGTGATGGTGAGGAGGTGGGAGTCACAATGGTGATGGTGGTGATGGTGGTGAGGACATGGGAGCAACAATAGTGGCAGTGATGGTGATTGAGACATGATGACGATTTGTGAACTTTCTAGGAAAACAATCATATAATCTCCAACAGCAGTATCTTAATATCTTTTCCAAAAGTATCAGATCATATTATAAGGGCCAAGTTTCCAGAATAATATCAGACATAATTACAGTGGACATCAGAGCTTGGCATCTAAAGGTGACAGGAATAGCTGTAATGTCTCAGCGTGAAAACAACATTGCTATTAGTCTGAGATATTAATTATCTAGTTAAGGAAGTACTCACCTATACCTAGTTTTTACCTGTTTTTTAAAATCTGGAATTGATTTTGAATTTTATCAAATATTTCCCTGGGAGCAATGTAAGATTTTTCATATTTTCGCCTTCGGGTATACCAACATGCCAGCTCTGTTGGCCACTTTGTGAGCTCGATGAAGCATGGTATAAAAGATGCTTTGCTAGTTTTTCACTTAATCTATTTCTATAAGCAATTTTGGAGCTAAGCCTCTGAAACAGAATTATATTATCTGTATAGAATAAATGTTTTATCTTCCCCCCTTTTCTCTCTTTTGGAATAGATGTGCATCAGTATCTCTGTGTCAGTATCTCTGTGTCAGTGAGTGTATGTCATTGGGCTTAGGGGAGGTCCAGAAAGTGATTGGGTGTTGGCATTTTCAATACACTTACTTTGTATAAGAAATAGTTTGCCAAATATAGAAAGAGGGGATTTACTCAAGATTTAAATTAAAAATGTTAGTGATCATTTTTCTAATGTCTTTCTATTTTTTCCCAGGTCATAATAAATCTTCACTGTCTGACTTTAGTCTCCCACTAAAACTGCATTTTCTTTCTACAATTTCAATTTCTCCCTTTGTTTCAAATAAAGTCCTAATGCTATTCATTTGACATATGGAATTTTGTAAGTATTTTCTTTAGTATGTGTGATTACATTCCTGATTCTGAACCTTTTTAGAAGAGTATATAGTTTGATATAATCTTGTTATTGACACCTGTGTCTTCTCCCAAAACCATTACTTATATAGGAATTGCACAATAGAAATGGGTTTAATTTTTTAAATGTGGTGAAATGTTGATGAGAGTAAGGGAAAATTTTTTAAATTTCTTTCACTGAGTTTTTATGATGTGCACAACATTCCTGAATATATTGTCTCTCTCATTTCTCAGACGGGATTTTTGCCTTCTCCATTTCTATTGTTAAAGAAACACTTACAGGGGTTTCTTTAACAGGCCCAGCCACCCAGATGAGGGGGAGGGACCCTGGAGGAAGAGCTCTTTTTTTTTTTTTTTCTTTTTTTGAGACAGAGTCTCACTCTGTCACCCAGGCTGGAGTGCAGTGCCGTGATCTTGACTCACTGCAACCTCCACCTCCCAGGTTCAAGCAATTCTCCTGCCTCAGCCTCCCGAGTAGCTGGAATTACAGACGCCTACCACCACGCCTGGCTAATTTTTGTATTTTTAGTAGAGACGGGGTTTCGCCATGTTGGCCAGGCTTGTCTTGATCTCCTGACAGGTGATCCACATACCTTGGCCTCCCAAAGTGCTGAGATTACAGGCGTGAGCCACTGCACCCAGCCAGAATATCTATTTTTAAATGGAACTGCATTTTCATAGTACAGTGAGGAAAAAGTTGTTTTGAAATCTTTATCCTGATAAACCGAATAATATGAAAATTTGCCTATTTTAATTATATGTAACAAAGTTTAGTTACTGCTATAACTGCAAATATGTATAAATTCCTTACCAAAAAAAAATGAATCAAGTGGGGCACAGAGAATAATTTTTCTGACAGAATTAAATAGCATGCTATAGCCTGCTTGACTTCATACCCAATAGTCATTTCTGCAGAGTCACCGAGGGCCTCATCAGCGTCAGCAAGAGCCCCTCGCCTTCTGACGCTCTCACATCCTTCTCTCCTGCAGCCCTGTCCTGCCATTGTCCTTGTCCAGCTTCTCTTCAAGGGTCAACTGGTCTACGTTTCCCTATAAGCTTGTTTGTCACAGCTTCTTGTTAGCAATCCCTGTGGTTGCCCAAAAGCACTTTCAGAGGCTACATAAGACTCTGCATGTTGTAGAAAATTTGCAGTTTCAATCTGCCCTCCCTCTGCAGGGTATTCCCATTGTATTGCGTTCAGCAGGCAGGGAGAGACTGCTGTAAGGACAGTTCCTGAGTGACTGCTTTCTGTCTTGGACTATTTGGTGTCTGCAGGAGGTAATGGGGTGAGCAGTAACGAGGCCTCCTGTATATTCCACCCCTATGAAGCCTGCGTGTTTGGTTTATGAACTAAGCTCAAAGGCACCACAGTGGTAAGACTGCACTACATGACACCATGGAAAAGAGGGAGCGCCCAGACCCCCAAATTAAGAAGAGCAGTGTAGAGACTAGAGACCTGGAGAGCAGAGACAGAAACTGTTAGGACCAGATTATAGTGTTAAACCAGGGCTCCCCAGACCTCTCACATATTGACATGTACTTGTCCATCTTTCTCCAAGCCAGGAAATGGGAGTCTCAAAGGCACGTTATTCTGCCTTTTTAAACTATCATCCTGTAATCAAAGTAATGATGGTAGCGTGTCCCACCAGAATGGGAGCCCAGCTGCTCCGGTGTCTTGCTGAGGATGGATCCCATCTCTTCTGCCGTTAGAGTTTCAGCTGGGTCGGGGTGGATGCAGCCACCTCCATGCCTAGCCTTCTGCATCTGTGATCCTCACAGCCTCCTCCGGCCACTGAGCCTCATGCCTTCACTTGTCTGTTCCCCCCTGCTTTTCCTTTCTGCCACCTCTGCATGTGGGCCGCCAGATTCTCAAGAGCATCCTACCGGTTTCCTTCCTTCCACTCCCTTTGCCAGTGCCTCTCACCCTATCTAGTAGCCTAACCATCACCCCCAGGACTGACCTCTTCCTCCTCACTGCCAGATGGTTGTTCAAAGCACAGAATTTGTCAGAAACCTGCAGTGACACCATGCTGCCAGGCTTCTCCAGAATTAGCGTGGCCCCAGTCCATGCTTCTAGCCTTGGTTCCTTCTGCCCCTCTCTTTGAAATTCTAGAGCCAGCTGTGGGACAATTATCTATGTCAAAAGCCAGATGTGAAAACATTTCAGTAACAAACTAACTGCTTTGTTCAGTGCTAGAACAACGCCTGTCACAGAGTAGAAACTCAAAAATATTTGCTGAGTGAATGAACAAATGAAGAAATGCATACTAAATAATTAACCACCAATCCAACATTCAGACACATTGTGATTTTAATTATTTAAGAGTAGTTTAGCACATATTGCCTTATAATTTAATTAAAAATCTCCAAGAAATATGCTGAAGAAGTAGAATGAGAAAAATGTATATTTTTCTTTCACTTCCTACAGATGCACTGGGCCAGGTCTTGAAGGCTGTGCAAGGAATGGGTAAGTGTTCACAGCTCTGTATCACATGGACCTCGTCAAGAATGACCACGCTGCTGTGGGTGAAGATTATGCTTTCCTGCATTTCTGGCTGTCCTCTGTCCTGATCAAGTTTCTGTGGCTCTGGACCAGGGTTTCTGCAGAGACTGCCCAGCTGGTTCCACGTGGCTCCGTGTGCCAACTTTGTCCTCAGTGGAGGGAAGGTTGGACGCGCAGTGCTGGAGCTGTTCCCTGCTCCGCCATTGCTTGATGCATGGCCTGCCTCTGACTTCCTTGGTTCCACTGGTTTTGCTGTGTCCTTCTCTGCCTCTAGCTCCTCTTCTTTTCTGTCCACTTACCCCATTGGTCCCATCACAAGCCTGTGTATGAGTGGCCTTTTTGTTCAATGACACCCTCCAGCGTAGGGGAGTGTTTCTCCTCGCTTTCTTTCCCAGACACACTGCCCAGCAAAGGCAAAAGGGCTTCCTTCAACGTCAGCTCTGGCCAGTTTGCCAGAGCAAAGCCCTGAGAAAAGCAAGGTTGAAAAATCTTGTTCAAACTCACTAGGAAAGAGTGGTGTTACCCTCGACGGCGTCTAGCCGGGAATCAGGGAATTACACACCGAGCACCCGTTTGCCATTCTGGATGTTTCCGAACACGAACCAAACTTCCAGGCCACTCTGCCATCTCTGGTAACGTCTACAAAGTCCCTTCCTCACCACTGCCCTTCCTTCATTTTGGCCTGCTCTTCCGCCCCTGAGTGGACAACCGTAGCTCTCCCTCCTGCCATCAGTGCCACATGATCGAGGAAGAAGGCAACTTTGCAGAGACTGGGTCCGTTTCCACTCCCGTCTCTTCAGTGAGCTGCTACGACACCCAGCAGAACTTCCCGATTCCACCCTGCAATCTCAGGGATCTTAATCATGGGGCTTTCCACCACATGTCCACCTTGAAACCAGTCATGGCCATTCCTTCTTACATCTGCTCTTTTCCATCTTTTTCTTCTCCTGTTCACCCACCCTCACTCCTGTGGCTCTCTGTGGACATGCGCTCTATAGCAAATGATTCTTTATATCTTCCGGTATTCTAGTGTGCTGGCTCACGTGGCTTCTGGTTTCCTCTCTCTGGAACTAGACATGGCCTCTGTGGGAGGGAGGATTAAATGCACCTTATGGATTGAGGCTGCATGACGACATCACTCATCACAATGATTCTTTCTGTGTCTGGATCCTATCCCTTTATAACCCCCTTCAAGCTCGTTCAGAGAGTATTTCACACAATCCATGTGCTCATCTTGCAAGTCAAGGACCCAGAGGAGTCTCAGCATTGTCAAAAAGTCTCTTCACACAGCCTGACCGGAGGCAGTGCCTGCTCCATGTGTATGGACTACGGCACTTCAATTGCATGGAAATACTCTTGGAATGAACAAAATACCAATCCATGAAAAAGCATTATTGAAGTCTAAGTTATTTTTTGAATTATATTTTGTTAATCAACAAATTGAAAAACACTCATCATATTGAGAGGTCCAGATAAAGCCTCAATTTTAAAAAATGAGGAAAATTGGGCCTGGTAGGAGACTGGGGGGAGCTTGAGAAAGTTGGAAACATTGCCCTAGAAGCCTGTTTTTTCTCCTCTTAGAAGCTACACAATATCTCACTTTCCGAGATCATTCTACAAGATAGATGTCAGTGCGCCGAAACATTCAGGGGCGTGTTGAGTGCCAAGGCCATGGAATCTGTCAGCAATCTCATCGTTCCTTGTTCCTTCACCTCATTCCAGGCCTAAGATCCCATCCATCGCCACTGGGATGGTGGGGGCCCTCCTCTTGCTGCTGGTGGTGGCCCTGGGGATCGGCCTCTTCATGCGAAGGCGCCACATCGTTCGGAAGCGCACACTGCGGAGGCTGCTGCAGGAGAGGGAGGTGAGTACCAGGACTGGGTGTGCTCAGGAGCCCTCGCACCCCAATGGGAACAAGGGCCAGCCCCGAGAACGGACCATTAGCAGTTGTGTATGTTAGACACATAATTGTATTATGATGCAGAAAGAATCTCTGAACGTGCAGTTATACCCAGTTAGTGACATATTGGTACATCCATCTGAGGAAACGGCAATGTTTCTAGACTGCACCCTTCAATGCCCACAAAACTGTGTGGCATCTGCTTAGGACCTGGTGCCTGTGTGTGCGTAGGAGGGAGGCCGGGAAGTCTAGCTGCTGATCCTCTGCTGGCACTGTGGCAGAGGCAAGAGATTCCTGCTTTGGAAAACACCATTGTCTACACAGTGGCTTTGTCCATGATGGACTCTGCCTCAGCCCAGTCCTGTGCTGGAAGCCATGATCTCTGGAAAGAGCAACCCCCTGGCTCATAAGCATGAGGGCATGTGATATGCCCCGACAGACACCAAAATGACTGCCACACACAACTTCCCTACTGGAGTTTTTCAATCCAGCTAGTAGGCGTGGAAACAGAAATAGAAATTGTGTTTGTTGAAAGGTAGCTGTTCATTTGAAGAACACCTGTATCAGAGCCTGTGTTTCTACCAACTTCTGTCAAGCTCTGTAGAGAAGGCGTACATTTATCCTTCCAAATGAGCTGGCAAGTGCCGTGTCCTGGCACCCAAGCACATGCCATGGCTGCTGGTCCCCCTGCTGGGCCACGTCTGGCACTGCTTCCCAGCGTGGTGAGCACTGAGGGGACCCTTGTCTCTGTGTTCTTGTTCCCCCCAGCTTGTGGAGCCTCTTACGCCCAGTGGAGAAGCTCCCAACCAAGCTCTCTTGAGGATCTTGAAGGAAACTGAATTCAAGAAGATCAAAGTGCTGGGATCCGGTGCGTTCGGAACTGTGTATAAGGTAAGGTCTCTGGGTTGGACCACAGGGCCCCTCATGATCTGGTGGGGAGCCCAGAGTCCTCGAAAGCTGTATATTTCCATCATCTACTTTACTCTTTGTTTCACTGAATGTTTGGGAAACTCCAGTGTTTTTCCCAAGTTACTGAGAGGAAATCTTTTTCCGAGATTCTCTTTTTCCGAGAACCACAATGACCAGTGGTCCTGTGAGACCACTTCACAGACCAAAGGCATTTTTCTGAAAGACGCCATTGACCTTGCTGTGGGGTGCAGCACAGGGCGGGAGGAGGGCCACCTCTCACCACAAGGCATCAGAATGTAGCCCAGCTGAAATGGGCTCATCTTCATTTGCTTCTTCTAGATCCTCTTTGCATGAAATCTGATTTCAGTTAGGCCTAGACGCAACATCATTAAATTCTGGATGAAATGATCTGCACGGACTTTATAACAGGCTTTATAAGCTTGAGATTCTTTTATCTAAATAATCAGTGTGATTCGTGGAGCCTAACAGCTGCAGGGCTGTGGGAGCATCATGGCGCCCAGCAATATCAGCCTTGGATGCAGCTCCACAGCCCCAGTGTCCCTCACCTTTGGGGTGCATTGCTGGTAAAATCCACCCAGCTCACTGGGCAGCTTGTGGCACCATCTCACAATTGCCAGTTAACATCTTCCCTCTCTCTCTGTCATAGGGACTCTGGATCCCAGAAGGTGAGAAAGTTAAAATTCCCGTCGCTATCAAGGAATTAAGAGAAGCAACATCTCCGAAAGCCAACAAGGAAATCCTCGATGTGAGTTTCTGCTTTGCTGTGTAGGGGTCCATGACTCTGGACCTCAGGGCCCACCTTTTCTCATGTCTGGCAGTTGCTCTGCTGTAGACCCTGCTCATCTCCACATCCTAAATGTTCACTTTCCACGTCTTTCCCTTTCTAGCTATAGTGGGTATAACTCCCTCCCCTTAGAGACAACACTGGCCTCTCCCATGCTGGTATCCACCCCAAAAGGCTGGAAACGGGCAATCACTGGCATCTGTCCAGCACTAGTTTCTTGACATGCATGATGAGTGAGTGCTCTTGGTGAGCCTGGAGCATGGATGTTGTTTGTGGTATTTTTTGGATGAAGAAATGGAGGCATAAAAAAATTGACCCTTATATGGCTGGGATAGGGTTTAAACCCCTTGTTATTTCTGACTCTGAAACTTGCATTCAATTCACTACACGAAGTTATCTCATCTTTGAAATGGCTTTTTTAAAGGTGCCTAGAATATGATGGCGTGCAGTCTATAAACTGTTGCCCACCTGCTGTACTTTCTCTCAAAATAATACACATTTTTCTCCAGTGTCTGCTGATTGTTACTTTGTGGAATAAGTTCTTGGAAAATTCCACAAGATTATTGTTATATTCTTACTACCAATTCTATTGAACTTTCTCCACCTTCTCTGGGCCTTTCCCCAGCCAGTGGTGGGAAGACATTGTCTGGGGTCTGACAGAGCCTCTTCTACACTGGCCTGGGTTTGCTGTGAGTTCATCATGGAAACCTTTACTCTTGTCCCAACACAGAGCAAGTGAAAGAGGAGGTCAAGGGGCTCAGGCAGCGGACTAGGGAAGCAGAATCAAGGAAAAGGAAAAATGGCTGTCCCTATTACCTCAAAACCCTAGAGAATGTAGTTGATCTTACAGCCAAGAAGGACAAAAGCCAGAGAGTGATATCCCCTGCCTCATGTCTAACACACAGAATACACAGCAAGCTAAGAGAACATGGGCCTTCATAAAATTGTCTTAAGACACTATTTTTTAATTGGAGGAAATCTACAGTTTAATTTTCTCTCAGCAGCTTTTCTTCCTTTTATTACAGTAGGGGAAATGCCATGTTGATATACTTCTAAATGAAAGATGATGAATTGATACAGTACAATAAAAAATCTGTAAAAATTGATGATATACTTATCAAGAAAAATTAGCTTTCATTTTAATGGTTTACAAATTGAGTCAAGTCCTAGTAACAAAATGTTAGGTCTATTAATATAACCACAAAAATACAGGAAGGCGGGCAATCCGTGAAGCCTTCACTTACAATCTAGCCCCTCACCTGTGCTGTGTAGGAAGATCTTTGTGCAGAATTTGCTTCCTTAATTCATTTTTTATTCATTCAACACATCCTAATAAATTATATAAAATCATGTTGAAATGTGAATTTCAGTGGTATTTATAATGCAGTATGAGGAGGGTTTGAATGTATTCTAAGACAATAGCTGTGCTTTGGGAAGGAAGCAGTGTTCACTGAAAAGTGCCCCCCAGAACCTTTTAATTGGAGGAAATATGCTTCTGTGGAGTTGGAAATGGAGTAGAAGATAGATAAGGTCAAGGCTTAAAAGTTAAGTGCACCCAACATCTGAAGTGTCCATGGGCCTGACGTGGTGGCTTTCACCTGTAATCCCAGCACTTTGGGAGGCTGAGGCAGGAGGATCCCTTGAGCTTAGGAGTTTGAGACCAGCCTGGGCAACATACTGAGACCCAGTCTCTACAAAAAAATAAAAAATTAGCTGGGCATGGTGGCTCATGCCTGTAGTCCCAGCTACTCAGGAGATGGGAAGATGGCTTGAGCCCAGGAGATCTAGGCTGCAGTGAGCTAAAATCTTGCCACTGCACTCCAGCCTGGGTGACAAAGCAAGACCCTGCTCAAAAAAATAATTAGATACAGATTGTAATATAGATACCTATATATATCTGAAAATAGATATGTGTATATATACTCTGTATATAGATATGTAGATATATAAATATATCATATATAATATCATATGATATATATTTAGAGAGATATATATCTCTCTAAATATATTAAATAAATAAAAGAAAGGCTCAGTTTGGCCTCCTGCTCATCCTGTCTCATCGCCTCTTCCCCCTCCATCATCTTATTTCCTTGCCCCATGTTTCTTCACTGCGGCCATGGCCCCCCTCCTCTCCAATGGTGGATGTCATGTCTGCTGCAGTCAGAGGGCGACAAGCCTGGAGTGTTCCCTGAATCCTGTGCTTTGTCCTGCAGCTCAGGCCGCCCGGGCCTCGCCAGCAATCCTGGCAGGCAGGGCACCGTGCTGGGATGGAGAGGGGGAAGCTGGAGGAGGCACTTTCTGGTAAAGAAAGCAAAAACCAGCAGTGCCCAAGCCAATTTCAACAGGGTGTTAAATACACCTTAATCGTGTGGCAGGACACCTCACGGGGCCACATGCGCTCTTAGAAAGACTCGCATGCATGCGAGCACAGCAGCAATCACTGCATACTCACGTTCCCCTGCAGACACCAGGCCCCGCGGCTGGCACACACACTGCAGCCCAGTTCCATGTTGCTAGCAGTGACTTAGTGAATGAGTAAAGTTCTTAAAATGCAGGGGACACCTGCCCTTCATTCGTAAGGCTGGACACACACCTCTCCTTAAGGAGTTCAAAAGCTAGTAGAACCCAGTTCTTATGGTAGAGCCGTTCACAGATGAGGGAGACAAGCCAGAAGGAAGGAACCAAAAGTCATGTCAGCAGTTAGGACAAAATAACAGGCTTTCAAGGTCACAAAGCCTCAGGGACACTCCTGCGGTGGGACTGGGCCAGGAGCCATGGGGGCTCCAAATGTGCACTCTGCCTGCCAGCCTGCGGGCGCTGGGGCTCCGCGGAGATTGTTGTGGAATACCAAGCATGCTTGCTGTAGGTCACGGTGCACATTTACCACTTCCAAGACAAACAACCGAGAACAAAGCTCGCTTTAGCTTCTGCGTACACCGAACAGGACACACGACTGAACAGCGTTCCCATTGTGCCTGCTGGGTGGGGAGGAAGTGATGGCCCAGTGGGTCTATCAGATGTTAGTAGGATGGGGCCTGGCGGGGCTCCAAGCTCTGTGTGGCCGACACCCACGCCCCCCGCTCTGCTCCCCATTCCCAGCCCCAGGTCAGCCCTGCGAGGCCCTGCAGCAGATGGGCTGCTCAAACTGCTCTGGTTTGCAGATTTTTCTTCCCTCTCAAATGAATACAATATGTTTTCAAATCTCAACCAGATCTTGAGAAAATAGGAAGAGCCAGAGGGTTTCTTTGGTGTTATGGTTGTACAGCTTCCCAGACTCGGGGGAGAGATGTGATTTGTGCTTTCTGGCAATCCCATGGCCTATTAATTTTTCCATAGGCTTTCCAGTTTAAATTTAGAGTAGGCAATGGAAAGAGAATGCAAAACAGATTTCTAGGTGTGCTGTGTGTGTGTGTCTCACGTCTAACGTCCGTTAACTGGAGCTCCCAACAGGCCCCACAGGCTGCCTTCACACACAGGACCTGGGGCGCCTCCAAACCATTGGGGTGAGCAGCGGGCCATGGAGGGAGCCAGGGTCAGGAGACCTGGCTGTGGGCCCAGACCCGACCCTGTGCAGGGTGGCCTCAGGTGGGCTGTTCACCTCGTCAGCCTCAGCTTACCCTCCGACTATAGTGACCTCAGACAAAATACACTTCCTGGCCCTGTCCTGTTCTGACATTTTATAAACAAGCACTTCTCCGAGTTGAAAGGATATTTTCAATATCTACTGAGTCCACAGATATTAAACATCTCTCTTCTTTAAAATTGTGACATTATGTTTAGAATATAAAAGGAAAATAACACACACTGTCCTTGAAAATAGAGAGCCTAAACACTCTGCAGAAAATATTTAAAGTTGTTTGTCTTGCCTGGACTTTGATTTGCTTTGAGTCTTTGACCTTGCATGACTTCAGTACAGTTCAACCCTGACAGTTTTGAAGTAGGTATGTGCCTAGATCTGCCCTAGTCCTGCTGGAATGTCGAAGAAGCAAAGGTCAGGCCCTCAGAGCACTTGCCACACACTTGCCAACAGATATGGGGTAGGGACTTGAGGCAATATAAGAGCAAGTGTGTGCCAGGCGGCCCGACACTGCAGAGCGTCGGCTAGACCCTAGGCGTGTGTTAGGAGCTGACCAAGCCGTTCTTTCCTCAAAGAGCTTGGTGGGAAGGGCACTTTTTAAATCACACAAACATTTAAGGACAGATTATGATGAGTGCCCCAAAGCAGTGGCTCTTCAGCTTCATCAAGCTTCAGAATCCAGAGGGTTTGTTCATAGGGAAGGCTGGGCCTGTCTCCTGCATTTCACCCTCTTGGCCTGGGGCGGGGCCCAAGAATGTGTGGCTCTAAAAGGTTCACAGGCAATGCCTAGGCTGCTTTCTGAAGGAAAAACTGCAAGATACCAGGAGAGTTTCATTTAGATTGAAGAGTCAAGGAAGGCTCCTCTGAGAAAGAGTCTGCTAAGGAAGGAGGAGGTGGAAGGTTCTGGGGACAGAGGTCCTCCTGTGGGTAAAGGCGGAGGGAAGCTCTCCCAGGGAGAAAGTGGGCAGGAGGACCAGAGGCTGGAGGGAGGAGAGCAGGCAGTCTTGGGGCTTCCCAAGAACAGGGAAGGCCAGGGCAGAGTTTAGGGCAAGGAAAGTGTGTGAGCATATTTGTATTTTAGTAAATATTTACAGTTTGCCCTCCATGTCTGCAGTTTCATGTCCATGGATTCAATCAACTACGATCAAAAACATTGGGAAAAAAATTGCATCAGTACTGAACATATACGGACTTTTTTTCTTATCATTATTCCTTAAACAATACAGCATAACAGTTATTCACATAGTATTTGCATTGTATTAGGTACTATAGGTAATCAGGAGATGCTGTAAAGTAGATGGGAGGATGTCTGTAGGTTACATGCAAATGCTGTGCCATTTTATGTCAGGGGCTCGAGCATCCTCGCATTTTGATATCTGAGGGAGATCCTGGAACCAATTCCCCAGACACTGAGGGTTGACTGTCTGTATCCCCTCGCCCCACCTTGCCTTTGTCTCCTGTCTCCTATCTCCACCCTGCCTCCCACCAGCCTGTTGCACCTGACCTGCCCAGGCACCCTGGAGCAGCACCCTATCTCAGACCCTGGCCCGGTGTGTTCACTTCTGCAGAGAAACTAACTTGCCCAAGTCCACACTCAAACACAGGCATTGCTGAGATGTGAAAAGCAGCTCTGGATGCATTCTGCTTCAGTCCGTGTGTTCTTTTCCACATCTGAATAAAAGGTCACCACCATTTGTATTTTAAAGGGAAAGAGAATTTATGGGTGGAAATTGGAGATTCCCTCATTCTCAGACAGAAAAGAGGGCCCCATTGTGTGCATGACTGCAAATAAATTTAGCTTCCTCAGCCCAAGAATAGCAGAAGGGTTAAAATAAAGTCTGTATTTATGGCTCTGTCAAAGGAAGGCCCCTGCCTTGGCAGCCAGCCGGAATTAGCGGGCAGCAGATGCCTGACTCAGTGCGTCATGGATTTCCCATAGGAAGTCTGGGGGCGCAGCACAGAGAGACCACTTCTCTTTAGAAATGGGTCCCGGGCAGCCAGGCAGCCTTTAGTCACTATAGATTGAATGCTCTGTCCATTTCAAAGCCTGGGACTGGTCCATTGAAAGAGCTTGTCCAGCTACTCTTTGCAGAGGTGCTGCGGGCAGGGTCCCCAGACCAAATGCCCACCCATTTCCCAGAGCACAGTCCGGGTCAAACCTAGCCTGTTGGGAAAGGAGGCCTTTCTCCTTGCTGGCTCAGCGCTCCCTGGATGCCTTCTCCATCGCCTCTCCTCTGCAGCACCCACAGCCAGTGTCCCTGATGTGCAGGGTCAGTCATTACCCAGGGTGTTCTGGACCCCACACACAGAGTCCCACAGGCCCTCATGGTATTTTAAACCACGGCATCCTTAACCTTGAGGCAGAGGTCTTCATAACAAAGACAGTATCAGTTCCCAAACTCAGAGATCAGGTGACTCCGGTTCCTCCTTTATCCAATGTGCTCCTGATGGCCACTGTTGCCTGGGCCTCTCTATCATGGGGAATCCCCGGATGCACCCAGGAGGGGCACCATCCCACTGCATCTGTCACTTCACAGCCCTGCATAAATGTCCTTGCGCTAGGTCTTTTGCAGGCACAGCTTTTCCTCCATGAGTACATATTTCAAAACTCAAGATCGCATTCATGCGTTTTCACCTGGAAGGGGTCCACGTGCCCCTCCTTCTGGCGGCCATGGGAAGCCCCACTGACATGCCTCTCCCTCCCTCCAGGAAGCCTACGTGATGGCCAGCGTGGACAACCCCCATGTGTGCCGCCTGCTGGGCATCTGCCTCACCTCCACCGTGCAGCTCATTACGCAGCTCATGCCCTTCGGCTGCCTCCTGGACTACGTCCGGGAACACAAGGACAATATCGGCTCCCAGTACCTGCTCAACTGGTGTGTGCAGATTGCAAAGGTAATCAGGGAGGGGAGATAAGGAGCCCGGATCCTCACATGTGGTCCGCGCTCCTGGGATAGTGAGAGTTTGCCATGGGGATGTGTGTGTGCGTGCATGCAGCACATACACATTCCTTTATTTTGGATCCAATCAAGTTGATCTTCTTGTGTGCGAATCAGTGCCTGTCCCCTCTGCATGTGGAAACTCTCATCAATCAGCTACCTTTGAAGAATTTTCTCTTTATTGAGTGCTCAGTCTGGTCTGATGTCTGTGTTCTTATTTCTCTGGAATTCTTTGTGAATACTGTGGTGATTTGTAGTGGAGAAGGAGTATTGCTTCCCCCAGTCAGGACTTGATAACAAGGTAAGCAAGCCAGGCCGAGGCCAGGAGGACCCAGGTGATGGTGGTGGAGTGGAGCAGGTGCCTCGCAGGAGTCCCAGTGAGCAGGTGCAAGGAGCCGACAGAGGGCGCAGCTGCTGCTGCTATGTGGCTGGGGCCCTGGCTAAGTGTCCTCCTTTTCACAGGCTCGCTCCAGAGCCAGGGCGGGGCTGAGAGAGCAGAGTGGTCAGGTAGCCCCACCTGGGTGCCGGAGGCAGGCACAGAGCAACGAGCCAGGTATTTCACAGCTCGTGTGGACCCAGAAAGACTTCCGCTTTTGCCCCAAACCCCTCCCATCTCCATCCCAGTCTTGTATCAGTTATTTGCACTCAACTTACTAAGTCCTGTTTTTTTCTGACAGTGGGTATATATTTCACCCCGTTGACTTTAAAGAATTTGCAGGCAGGCCCTGTCTCTGAGAATACGCTGTTGCCCCTCCTCTCCCTCCGACAGCAGGGCAGGGAGTTCAGGGATGTGCCAGGGACCAGAGGGAGGGAGCAGACACCCACCCGGCCTGGGCAGGTCCTCCTTATTGCTTGCATTCCCCTGGTTAGCTGTGGCAGTCAGTCCTGCCAAGTCACTCGTGAGGTGTTTGCCCAGCTCCAGGCAGTTGTAAAAGGTGACCTACAAGAAGACAAACAAAAATATCTGGAGTGCTCTTATGCCAGCAGCTGCCCTTAACACCACCAGGCAGGCTCTTGCTGGGAGCTATGGTGCTTGGGTCCACTCCCTCCCATCACAGAGCTCCTGGGCTGCATTGTAGAAGCAGGGACCACCTCCCAGGATAACCAGACAGGAGCACACCCTGAACAGCCCCTTTTACTCCAACACCATCAGGCATTGATTTCTCAGCTGCAGCCACAGGCGGCCCCCAGCAGCCCAGGAAGTGGGGAACGCTCACGCTTCTCTGACCACAAAAATCACTGAATGTTTTTGCCATTCTCATGGTCATAACTTCGGCCACACAGTAGAACACTCCCATGACCGTTGTTAGACAGTGGTCCTGGGAGAGGATCTTGTGTGCCTCTTTTTATTGGGAGATGCTTGTTATTTCTGTGTGTGGCTGCATTTGTTTCCCAAGACTGCCACAACAAATCATCACCAACTTGGTAGCTCAACATTGCACAGATTTATTCCCTTCTGGCTCTGGAGGCCAGGCATCTAAAGGCCATGCTCCTGCAAGCATTCTGGGAAGGATCCTTCCTGCCTCTCTGGCTTCTGGTGGCCCCAGCATCCCTGGGCTGGGGCTGCACCTCCCCACGTCAACCTCCATCTTCATATGGCCTCTTCCTGTGTCTCTGTAACCACAGGCCCCTCTCCTTTCTCTTAATAAAGATACCAATCATTGAGCTCGAAAATTGCTAAGAGAGTCTATTGTAAATCTTCTTAGCACAAAAAAAAGATAGATATGTGAAGTGATAGATACATTAGTTTGATTTGATCTGATCACTCCACTATGTGTACAGATGTCAAAACAAACATTGCACTCCATAAATGTATATATTAAAAAAGATCCCAGTCATTGCATTTAGGACCCACCCTAAATCCATGATGATTTCATTTCAAGATTTTTAGATTTGCAAAACCCCATTTCCAAATAAGGTCACATTCTGCAGTTCTGGGTAGACGTGAAATGTGGGGACACTGTGCAACCCACTGTCTTGGGGAGCGGGTGGTCAGCCTGGGGCAGGTGTTGCTGTGTGTGGAGCTAGGTCCACTCATGCCCTGACCTGGAACCCAGACCTGCTTCCCCAGCTCTCCTCCTGGTTATCTGAAGCAGGGAATGGAGAGCACTGCCCACCTTGCCCGGCAGTCTCTATCACCTGGTTTTACTTTCCTCTTAGCACATATTGCCTCAGAAGATCTGGTTGGTTTATGGCTTACTTGAGTTTGTGCCTACCTGTCCCAACCAGGAGGTGAGCCCTGGCTGTCCCCCGAACCCAGCCCTGCATGTGGGAGCTGCCCCTCCCCCGCTTATCAGAGGGGGCCAACAGTCCGCAGCTGTTCTTAATCGTCTCCCAGTAACCCCCAGCTCCACAAAGGTGACTCCTCACGTGGTGGAGAGGTGGCCAGGCCATCCATGTGTAATGCGTATGTGACCGTTTTCCTTAAGGGGCACGTAGTCTTGGCAGGTTTCGCCCAATACAGGACGGGCTCAGGACTCCAGTGGACTGTGGATTCAGATCTGGATTCTGGCACATTTGCTGTGTGAGCATGGGCACGTTGCTGGCCTCTCTGCGCCTGGTCTCCCGGCTGTGGAGTGTGTTCTGCACCTTGTCTTTCTGGGAAGTAGGGAGGGCAGTGAGCCCCTTCACATCGCCCACCATGGGCCCAGCACATGCCTGATCCCCACCGAGTGTTCCTTTCCTCCTTTGATCCCCTTTGGCTGACCTACGTTGGAGCAGCCACTAAAATATACCCAGAAACATCTTCCTAATCTACATCTGCGCCAACCCTCGTTCCCTAGCTCAGCATGACCATCACGCGCCCGCCATTGCTCCTGAGCTCTGCTGCTCATGAGCTGCTCTCTGGCCCTCCTTCTCATGCTCACACTCCAGTCGGCCTGGCCTAGATAAGTGGAGGTTTATTTGACCCCCAAAATTAGCCTTCTACAAACGAATATAATAGTGCCATTACAGAGAACTCACTTAGTGCGGGTCCCATTTAAGCAGAAGTTACTGAAAGCCTGAGTTTGGTTTCCAGGGCCTGAAAGTTTTCCATGATAGTTCTCTACATAATGTTACCTACAATTTCAACCTGTTATTTAAAGCCATTCTTGTGTTTGTTGTACTTTGATTAGCTTTATTTTGATTTGAAGTTCTTTTACATTATGGGCAGTTAACACTTTGGCTCTGTTAGATTTGCTTTTTAGTTCACAAAGGAAATCTCATTCCTCTGTATTTGAATAGCTGCAATGATGGAACAGCTGTCCCCGGAGGGAAATGAAAACAATGATTCCCCAAATTGTAAAGACAGAAATTTGCTCTTGGGTTACTTACAATGTATCTGAGTATTAAAAATTTTTCTTTTTAAACGTTTGAAGTAAAACTACCCAGAAACACTTAGTGGCTGACTAGAAACTAAACTCCTGGGCCGGGCGCGATGGCTCAAGCCTGTAATCCCAGCACTTTGGGAGGCCGAGACAGGCGGATCACAAGGTCAGGAGATCGAGACCATCCTGGCTAACCCGGTGAAACCCCGTCTCTACTAAAAAATACAAAAAACTAGCCGGGCGAGGTGGCGGGCGCCTGTAGTCCCAGCTACTCGGGAGGCTGAGGCAGGAGAATGGCGTGAACCCGGGAGGCGGAGCTTGCAGTGAGCTGAGATCCGGCCACTGCACTCCAGCCTGGGCCACAGAGCGAGACTCCGCCTCAAAAAAAAAAATAGAAACTAAACTCTTGGCATCCTCAAAGTGGGATTATTGGCTTATAAAGGTCCTGTATTGATTGACAAAGGCACAAACTATCTTGGGAAGTTTTCTTCTAAATATTGATGGGAGAGCTGGCCACCGTTATGCAGGTTTCATTGTCCTGACTAAACTGCTAAAGAGATTACATAAAATGATATCAACTAGACAAAAGAAAGAATAAAAAAAAACAGAGGTGTCCTGGGAGGAATCCGGATGAGACCAGAAGACCATGGGAGAGACATCCCTTGTCCTCTACAGGGAAAATGGGTTTTGTTCTCCACATGCAAAACCATCTCAGGAGCTTGTGAAGACACCACCTGCTTACCAGCCAGAAAGAGCAGGTGCCTCCTAAATTCCCCACGCAGGAGATCACGGTGGCTTTCACACACTAGGAGTAAGTTAGACTTAAGAAAACCTGTCTACTCTTCCTGGGATTTACAAGCCAGCTAGTAAATCCCAGACTAAATCACACAGCACAATCATCCAAAGATCCCGTCATCCGTGCCGTTTGGAAAGCCCCGCTCCTGCGCCGCCCTCTCCCCGTGGAGCCCCCCATGCCCAGGACTGCAGAGTCCTGCCATTCAGACTGCAACTCATCTCACATTCTTCCAAACTATTTGGACAACAGAGCTTTCTCATCACCTAATGCAGATTACAGTCTCACAGAATTGAGTGTTCAGGCAGACAATGATGTGGTTCTGTAGTACAGCAAACAATATCAGTTTACAGTGCTGAGGCCAGGCCTGGTGAACTATGCACAGTAGCGGCAGGGCAAGGCTCTCAGAATGAAACTGGCTTACGAGTGGCACTCTCTGACCACAACTCTATAAGCACCAAACTATACTTAGTTCCATCTATGAGGTAAAATTTAATGCAGATAAACATCAAAGAAAACTTCAAAGCCTCCTTTTTTCAAGTACGTAGGCTACTTAATTTGGTCCAAGTTCATTTTAAAAAGCTCTAGGTGCTTTCACGGCTCCCCTACTGACAAGAGGCCCCAGTGCCCGTGAGCTGCTAATGGGAGGGAGAGGAAGCAGAGCTGAGTGGGCCTGGCTATCCCGTCCACACCGGGAGACAGGGAAGGAGACTCCACGCTGGTGGCGCCAGCACATTCCAGGCCACTGGGGCCTATTCCTAGGCACCAGGTCACGAAAACCACGCTGACAGATCATGTGTGTGTGTGTCATAGTGCACAAGCAGGACTGTGAGCGAGTGAAAGTGACACTGGGTG